TCCTACCGCTTTAACGCTTCCCCATAAATGTAATAGTAGTATACAGCATTAGGACTTCTGTACCGGCAATAGTGGAGCATCAGTGGCGAGTTTTCAATTTTCCATATTTGGGATATTTGTCTTCATCATGAGCTCCACACACTTTTCAAAAGTTTAAATTTACTAAGTACACACAATATGCACTCATACTACTTTGTCTACTGTATATATAGGACAATAAGTTCCAATATAAATCCTTCTCTGTGACTTTCCCTTGATAGTTACAACAGAACACACAGGCATAACACCCTTGACATCCCCCATGTCTGACCTATCCTGTGTAAAAACTTAATACACATAATGGTCCTAAGATTTGGAACTCCTGCCTGAACCATCGAAAGGTTCCCCATCAACCAACTGAATCAGAGCTATTACTAAAAAGCATCTTATCTCCTTAATGTAACAGAGACAGCAATACGCACTTCTTAACGTAATCGAGACAGCAATAAACTATGTCAACAAAATCAGCTTTCATCCAATTCTGTCCCTGTTCTTCCAACCTTCTTTCAACTCCCATACATAATTGGTAACATATCTAGTATTTATGTATACGTGTACCTAAATAAACATACTTATGTCTCATTTGTATTGTAATCAAAGTAACTTGTTGTATCTTCACCATCTATATTTAATCACTCCACAAAACTAAATATCATTGAATGATTTTAAATATGTAATTCTTTTGTAACTGACCATTTGTCTTCAACTACCTTTCTCCAGGTAGTGTACTGACAATTGTAGTTAACTGTGTAAGAAATCCTACTATTGTTGTGGAAACTTTTGATAATTTTCCCGGGATTTGTGTGTAAGAATTAATGGGGATAATAATGTTTATCTGAAATTGTGTAGGTGCATATTGTCAGTGGCTTTTGTAAGATGTCTGTGACATGAGAACTAATATTCTCTATTATTTCCTTACACTATGTAAAGGGTTGAATAAGGAAAGTGAAAATGCTGTAATTTAAAGTAAATTAATATTTCAATATTGAAATCGTAGTACACACCTCGAAGTGTTATTAAATTAATTGAAAAGATGTATTGGTGGAAAAAACGTAGATAAGTGCATTGAAAATGGCGGAGTAATACAGATTAGACCATGAATTACGGATAGAATTAATCTCATTTAATCCAAGCCAATAGAAATAGTATCGGTAAATATGGTGTCCTATACACAAATAACGACGACGTTTCGGTCCGACTTGGACCATTGACAAAGTCACACTGTGCGGGTTATTTGTGTATCGTTCCAGTCACGGTATTGTGCCTTTTTTTGTTATTTATGGTGTCCTATATAATAACTGAATTTAATGTGTATCTGGAAAGGTTCAGATACAAAGTAAAACTATCTGAATAAGGATGATACGAATGAAAAACGAGCTGTTGCTGGAGAATCTACATTGTCCACCACATACATCATTAAGTAGTAATGTGCGCCTCCCAGGATGAGATAAGATTTTCTATGGATTTTTAACCCCGGAGGGTTAGCCACTCAGGATAATCCAAGAAAGTCAATGCGTCATCGAGGACTGTCTGTCTTATTTCCACTTGGGTCCTCAATCTTGTCCCCCAGGATGCTACCCACACCAGCCGACTAACACCCAGGTACCTATTTGTTGCTGTGTACCTATTTGCTGCTGTGTACCTATTTGCTGCTAGGTGAACATGACTGTGGAAAATACTGTATATATTTTCCAGTAATTATATGTAAATAGATGGCCATACTGTATTTAATAAAATATGTTATGGAAAACGGGAAACTGAGCTTGCGTCTGGGCAGGAGAGTCGCCATTGTTAATTTGAATTGGATACAACGTTAGTGCAATGGGAAGGAATTTTCGTGCTCTAGAGGTTAAAATTGGGCTGACACCTCTCAAATAGGAGGCGAAATTGTTGGATGTGCATTCCTGCATAACTTGAGATATCAGGCGACTGGACAAGACAGCTCCAGGAACCTCAGATAAGTCTGTTATGTTATAACTCTGGCCAGTTGTTATTTTCATGTATAGACAGAGGTTTTCTGAGTATGATACAACTTAATCTCCAGTTAAATTGGTGAGTGTTATGATTAAGATATATTCTCCTTCTGTTATATAAATGTGCATTTATATATAATCATTTTTTAATTTAATGTACAGTCCACAAATTTATATATTTACCAGCATTCCTGGTGATGTATATTTCATTTATGATTAATAGGTCCAGAGCAACTTGTGGATATGACAGTGGTAGGTATCGAAGGGGGACATTTTTTGCGACCTAGGTGTCCCAAATTCCTACATGTCTTCCAACCCTCTTCCAATATTTCCATCCTTACCCATCCTTCTTCCTTCCCCATCTTACCAAAGCTCTGGTCATTAGAAGCGAAGCCTACATGTCTAACTGATAAATAATAATCTTTGTTCATATACTGTTATGTATATAACGATACATTCAGCTAAATGCAATTTTCCACAATGACAATAGGTGTAAGGAAACACGTCGAAATGTTTCCATCCCGCCGGGAATCAAACCCGGGACCTTCTTGTGTGAAGCGAGAGCTTTTAACCACCAGGCCACCGGGCCAGGATGAGTTAAATCTCACTACAATAAATGTAACTATTCATTGGGCAATACTGGTTGCCTACCGATAGGGAGGCCTTAGGATATATTGTCAAGATCATAATTTGGTGAGTAATGCATATGTATTTAAATGCTCATATTTTATCTGGTGTAATTAATTTAAATATATACAGTTTACAACCAATTTAATACAGCCAGTGTTAGGCCCCAAATATTTCATTAAATAACTTCAAGAATTATATGTTCACATAATTGAAGGTCCAGAGGTGAGTTTGGGGAGTTGAGAAGGTGGACATCGAGGGAGGGACAGTGTTATAACCCACTGTTGCTAAAGTCCCACCTGTCTCCCAGGTACAACTGTGGCAATAAGTGTTCTGTTTTAGATGTGCCGGAGTTCTCCCCAGTTATGTAGGTCCGATGTTAATTCAGGATTGTACCTGTGAAACTCACCCACATAATTTCTCACAACTGTATTAGTTCATTCAAACTACATTATTTGTACAGCATAAAGAAATAAACATTATAATAATAAGATTATTATTATTATTATTATTATTATTATTATTATTATTATTATTATTATTATTTTATTATTATTTTTGTTATTGTTGTTGTTATTGTTAACTGCCTACTGCTGTGCAACACACAGGTAATTAAATTTGTTTATGGTGATTGGTTTTGTTCATGTATATTGACATCCATGTATAATGTGTACTGTATTTTAAATAAAATATAAAAAAAAAAACTGCCGTGCAACTGATCGAGGCGCCATATATCAGTTTCAAGATAACATAAATGCCGGTTCTTGTTGACTATTGAGCTGTGTGAGTGTTGGGTCATGCCGGGGTTGAGGCAACTTTGGGGTCCAGTCCTGGACCCATTATGTACCTCTGTAATCTTTTGATCACTACCCACAAAAAATGAGCACGAGGTTGCCATAATGAAAAGTCACATTAACTATTAAACTGGCCAAGTGGACCACTCCTAACCTTAATTGAGATATTGTTACCCTTTTCTATTTTTTTTTAAAAAATAATTTCTTCCCGTATTTGGACAGCATAATTTTCCCGGATTCCCAGGAAATATGGCTCAATAAGGCGTACAATGGAAATAAGTCATAGTGTAAATTACCTAGGATAACCCTAACAAAAGTTTGACAAAGTGACTTATTTCCGTTTGTGGTTTCTTGAACACATGCTTCACGATTCTGTTGGGTAGAATAAGTCCTAGTATACCAATTTTGCTGAATAAATGAGGATATTTTTTTATTCAGTAAATAAAAAGTGCTTCTTCTGATTGGCTTCAAAATATTCCAGTTCCAGTTTCATTCGTCTGCATAGTCCCGGTCCGGGTCTTGTTTAAAATATTGTTGATGATGCATTCTATAAGAAGGATGGTGGTGATAATAATAATAATAATAATAATAATAATAATAATAATAATAATAATAATAGCAATAATAGTAAGATAAGATTTTCTTCAGATTTTTAACCCCGAAGGGTTAGCCACCCAAGATAGCCCAAGAAAGTCAGTGCGTCATCGAGAACTGTCTAACTTATTTTCCATTGGGATCCTTAATCTTGTCCCCCAGGATGCGACCCACACCAGTCGACTAACACCCAGGTGCCTATTTGCTGCTAGGTGAACAGGACAATAGGTGTAAGGAAACAAGTCGAAATGTTCCCAAGCGCCGGGATTCGAACCCGAGCCCTCCGTGTGTGAAGCGGGAGCTTTAACCACCAGGCTGTGTGGTTGTCAGTTTGACAATTTTATCAAAATCAAAATTACATATATTTTCTTCCAGCAATGTACAGAATTCTAAATAGAATGCTTTTTAATTTAACAATAGAAGACCTTCCTATTTTTCGAAATATTTGCAACATCATTTTCATTTGTTTTCTCACAAATTTTTGCTTATTACTCGAAAAAGCTAATTCGATCGCCTTCAACTTTTCAACGCTTGTGTAATGTATCTTGGGCAAGATTCGTGGAATATTTGCACGTATGGGTTCATCAAGTCCAGTGCTTCTTCATAGGCCATTCCCATTTTTTTTGTATTGCTCAATAAAGCGTGAGAGTTAGTGGCCCTGAATAACACCATCAATTGCACCATCTTGGTCCAGTGTGAACATCTCGCTATAATAGAGGCACGTTATAATAGGGGGCACGTTATACTAGGGACACGTTATACTAGGGACACGTTATAATATGGGCACGTATTAATAGAGGCACGCTATAATAGGGACACATTAAGAGGAACGTTATAATATGGTCTAATAAGGGCACGTTATAATAGGGATACGTTATAATAGGGGGCACGGTATAGTAGGCACATGCTGTATAGTCCTTGTGGCTTAGCGCTTCTTTTTGATTATAATAATAATAATAATAATAGTAGGCACATGTTATAATAGCGGCATGTTACAGCAGGATGACCCTTGTGGTTTAGCGCTTCTTTTTGATTATAATAATGTTAGAGGAGGGGCACATTGCAGCAGGGGCACCTGTCATCGGCTCAATATTAGCCAGTTCCATTTTCCATTATTGAGAATCCGGTTACTGAGCTCAGGTGAGTGTGGGCGTCCTGCTTTACTGGAACTTGGTAAGGGGACGTCCACCTGCTTTACTGGAACTTGGTAAGGGGACGTCCACCTGCTTTACTGGAACTTGGTAAGGGGACGTCTACCTGCTTTACTGGAATTTGGTAAGGGGACGTCTACCTGCTTTACTGGAACTTGGTAAGGGGACGTCTACCTGCTTTACTGGAACTTGGTAAGGGGACGTCCACCTGCTTTACTGGAACTTGGTAAGGGGACGTCCACCTGCTTTACTGGAACTTGGTAAGGGGACGTCTACGTGCTCTACTGTAACTTGGTAAGGGGATGTCCACCTGCTCTACTGGAACTTGGTAAGGGGACGTTCACCTGCTCTACTGGAACTTGGTAAGGGGACGTCCACCTGCTCTACTGGAACTTGGTAAGGGGACGTCTACCTGCTCTACTGGAACTTGGTAAGGGGACGTCTACCTGCTCTACTGGAACTTGGTAAGGGGATGTCCACCTGCTCTACTGGAACTTGGTAAGGGGACGTCCACTTGTTCTACTGGAACTTGGTAACGGGACGTCTACGTGCTTTACTGGAACTTGGTAAGGGGACGTCCACCTGCTCTACTGGAACTTGGTAAGGGGACGCTACCTGCTCTACTGGAACTTGGTAAGGGGACGTCTACCTGCTCTACTGGAACTTGGTAAGGGGACGTCCACCTGCTCTACTGGAACTTGGTAAGGGGACGTCTACCTGCTCTACTGGAACTTGGTAAGGGGACGTCCACCTGCTCTACTGGAACTTGGTAAGGGGACGTCTACGTGCTCTACTGGAACTTGGTAAGGGGACGTCCACCTGCTCTACTGGAACTTGGTAAGAGGACGTCTACCTGCTCTACTGGAACTTGGTAAGGGGACGTCCACCTGCTCTACTAGAACTTGGTAAGGGGACGTCTACGTGCTCTACTGGAACTTGGTAAGGGGACGTCCACCTGCTCTACTGGAACTTGGTAAGGGGACGTCCACCTGCTCTACTGGAACTTGGTAAGGGGATGTCTACGTGCTCTACTGGAACTTGGTAAGGGGACGTCCACCTGCTCTACTGGAACTTGGTAAGGGGACGTCCACCTGCTCTACTAGAACTTGGTAAGGAGACGTCCACCTGCTCTATTTGGGAACTTCTAGTTTCTTTTTCTATTTACAAAAGACCACCTGTTATTTTTTTTTCATGGCTCAACTTTTTTAGAGACAGTATTGAGCCGCTTGACTCAGTACTGTGGTAGTTGTTAGTGACTTATAACCTGGAGTTTACCTGGAGAGAGTTTCGGGGGTCAACGCCCCTGTGGCCCGGTTTGTGACCAGGCCTCATGGTAGATCAGGGCCTGATCAACCAGGCTGTTACTGCTGGCTGCACGCAATCCAACGTACGAGCCACAGCTAATATTTATTTGTGCCTCTTACATTATTTTGAACTTTTAAAATGGGCTATACAGTAAATTATGTGTATAAATTAACCTAGGATAACTCAATATATGAACCTAGGATATCTCAATATATGAACCTAGAATAACTCAATAAATGAACCTAGAATAACTCAATAACTGAACCTAGGATAACTCACTGATCGACTTTTAAGATATTGTGAGGTGGTAGGGAAAGGAAGGCAGTTAGTGACTCCAGTGGGGGATGGAAAGACTTTTAGTAAATAGAAACCTATTACTGTCTCATCCAGTAAGTTTATTTAAGTACAGGTACATATTATAATCAAGTGCTAAATAAATTATCATACAGAGTAACATATGTGTAAATTACCTAGGATAACTCCCAAAAAAAGTCAGTGACTTATTTCCACTGGGGTCCTGGTATTTCCACTGGGATCCTTGTATTTCCATTGGGGTCCTGGTATTTCCACTGGGATCCTTGTATTTCCATTGGGGTCCTTGTATTTCCACTGGGATCCTTGTATTTCCATTGGGGTCCTTGTATTTCCACTGGGATCCTTGTATTTCCATTGGGGTCCTTATATTTCCACTGGGATCCTTGTATTTCCATTGGGGTCCTTGTATTTCCACTGGGGTCCTTTTATTTTCATTGGGGTCCTGTTATTTCCATTGGGGTCCTTGTATTTTCATTGGGGTCAGGTTTCAAGTAGGGTGGCGGGTCAAATTCAAGTGTTAGTGGTACAGTACTTTAGTACTTTCCCATAAATGTCACAATCCCAGAAATTTTAATATGCAATCACCATTTTAGGCACTAGGAAAATGGTTATATTATTGTAATGGGAGATAAAGCATGCACTTGTTATTAATCAGTATATGTAGAATGAAACAAAGTAATAATCTGGTATGGTATAGAATATGACAAAATTTTAACTATAGTAAATTTTTATATTACAGGAACTCTTGACGGAGTCAGGGGATCATCATGGGTCATGGCCAGCAGATTCATGCTAAGGTCATTTTCTTACTCTAAAAAAGTATCTATATGTACTAAGATGTCCAGCCAAGTGGAAGCTCCACAGGTTGTCCATGACCAAGAAAACATGGAATTTTATGTTAAATTAGGAAGAGGTATGTGGTAATGTATTTTAGGGTAGTGTGTAATTCCATTTTTATTATTATACGTGTTGCTAAATCTGTGGAGGTTATTTACCTGTACTTGGTTGTAATGCCAAAAAAAAAAAAATTATGTTAACATTTCATAGCTGAGGTTACTCTAATGGTAGTGTAATCATTGATGGACATTATTCAGCAAAGGGAAAAATACAGTACATGCAAGGGTTATGATGGGTGGTACACAAACTGAATTGAATTTGGGCAGTAGTATGTTGTGAGCAATAGGATGACAGGTGTCAGTTGTTAAAGATCTTCCAGAACCAGCAGAGTTGTAAGTCGAGTTATACTGTCCGATGAGTTTTGGATGAAGCAGTTCACATGAATAAGCAGTTTGCATAATAAAGCAAAACACTTAATTTTTCTATCCCCTTACCCACTATGGAACCCAGTAGGGAGAGGCACTGAACATTCTTTTTTAAGGTTCAGTATAAATAGGCCAGCACGGTTGCATGGTTTCTATTATGTGTCCATCCATACTTATTAATGCGAACCTCCCACTCCTCCTGTGTTTTATGGTTTTACTATTTTTTCAAGGTTGGGAAATTTATAAATACTGTATAATTTTTAATTATGTACCCTTTGTGCTCTGCTATGGTTGGGCATGTGAGAGGAACTCCATACTGTATTTCTGTAGGCTTTACCTGTACTTTGGGTGAATTCTTAACTAGCACTTGAAGGTTATTAAAATTTTTCCAGCTAAAGCATTAACATTAAATCAACAGAATTTAATACAGTCATTTACTAAAATTATGCTTATACGTATTTGTTTGACATTTTGATTTGTATATTATTCAAAATACAATACTGTAACTTACTTTTAATGAAGAACATTTGGAAAACTGATCATAGTGTATCATCCAACCCGCTAGACAGTATTTCCTGGTTAAAATGTCTGTATAAGAAAACATCAGAATTTTTGGGATTACAGTGGTACTGTGACATACGAGTATAATTCATTCTGTGACCAAGCTCGTAACTCAATTTGCTCATATGTCAAATCAGTTTTCCTCAGTGAAATTAACTGAAATGCCATTAATCCATTTGAGCCCCCCCAAAAAACCACCCTAAGGTTTTTTTTATCTGTTTTTAAATAAGAAAAATGTATTTATAAATAAGAAATATTGTATACTCCACCCACCACCTTCACTACTCCACCCACTACCATTCAAATTCAAAGTTTATTCTCTATAAGGATTACAATGCTGAGTTTACAGAAATTTGGTTATTGTGTGGTTTACATGTAGTAAAATTGTGATTACAGAGTGTACCACTAGAACGCTTAACATGGCTAGGTATTTCGGGCAGACTTAGTTTTATTCTTAATTGTAAAATATTACAAATTATGAGGTAAGTTGGTATTATGGCTAAGTGACTAAATACTAGTTTGTGAGTTTAGCAATGTGAATGCTTTTGTTTTGGCACAGTACATAGTTTCAGTATTGGAGTATCACAGGATTCATTATTTTAAGATTGAGATTAATATTTCTGTTTATGGTCAAATGAGTGAGTGAGTGTAAGTGTGAACCACCAGGTGGTATTCGTGTAGTTAGTTGACGGGTTGTATCAGGGAGATAAGATGTTTTCTAATGGTAGTTTTGAAGGTGATGAATGTGTCTGCAGTTCTAGAGTTCTCAGGTAGGGTATTCCAGATTTTAGGGCCTTTGACATACATTGAATTTTTGTAAAGGTTTAGTCGGACACGGGGAATGTCGTAGAGATGTTTGTGTCTGGTGTTATGCCTGTGGATTCTGTCACAACTATCAAGAAAGCATTTTAGGTCAAGGTTGATATTAGAGTGTGGAGTGGGGCAACAGACATAGCCCCACTCCACAAAGGGGGCAGTAAAGCAACAGCAAAGAACTACAGACCAATAGCACTAACATCCCATATCATAAAAATCTTTGAAAGGGTCCTAAGAAGCAAGATCACCACGCATCTAGAAACCCATCAGTTACACAACCCAGGGCAACATGGGTTTAGAACAGGTCGCTCCTGTCTGTCTCAACTATTGGACCACTACGACAAGGTCCTAAATGCACTAGAAGACAAAAAGAATGCAGATGTAATATATACAGACTTTGCTAAAGCCTTCGACAAGTGTGACCATGGCGTAATAGCGCACAAAATGCGTGCTAAAGGAATAACAGGAAAAGTCGGTCGATGGATCTATAATTTCCTCACTAACAGAACACAGAGAGTAGTCGTCAACAGAGTAAAGTCCGAGGCAGCTACGGTGAAAAGCTCTGTTCCACAAGGCACAGTACTCGCTCCCATCTTGTTCCTCATCCTTATATCCGACATAGACAAGGATGTCAGCCACAGCACCGTGTCTTCCTTTGCAGATGACACCCGAATCTGCATGACAGTGTCTTCCATTGCAGACACTGCAAAGCTCCAGGCAGACATCAACCAAATCTTTCAGTGGGCTGCAGAAAACAATATGAAGTTCAACGATGAGAAATTTCAATTACTCAGATATGGTAAACATGAGGAAATTAAATCTTCATCAGAGTACAAAACAAATTCTGGCCACAAAATAGAGCGAAACACCAACGTCAAAGACCTGGGAGTGATCATGTCGGAGGATCTCACCTTCAAGGACCATAACATTGTATCAATCGCATCTGCTAGAAAAATGACAGGATGGATAATGAGAACCTTCAAAACTAGGGAGGCCAAGCCCATGATGACACTCTTCAGGTCACTTGTTCTATCTAGGCTGGAATATTGCTGCACACTAACAGCACCTTTCAAGGCAGGTGAAATTGCCGACCTAGAAAATGTACAGAGAACTTTCACGGCGCGCATAACGGAGATAAAACACCTCAATTATTGGGAGCGTTTGAGGTTCCTAAACCTGTATTCCCTGGAACGCAGGAGGGAGAGATACATGATTATATACACCTGGAAAATCCTAGAGGGACTAGTACCGAAACTTGCACACGAAAATCACTCATTACGAAAGCAAAAGACTTGGCAGACGATGCACCATCCCCCCAATGAAAAGCAGGGGTGTCACTACACGTTAAGAGACCATACAATAAGTGTCAGGGGCCCGAGACTGTTCAACTGCCTCCCAGCACACATAAGGGGGATTACCAACAGACCCCTGGCAGTCTTCAAGCTGGCACTGGACAAGCACCTAAAGTCAGTTCCGGATCAGCCGGGCTGTGGCTCGTATGTTGGTTTGCGTGCAGCCAGCAGCAACAGCCTGGTTGATCAGGCTCTGATCCACCAGGAGGCCTGGTCTCAGACCGGGCCGCGGGGGCGTTGACCCCCGGAACTCTCTCCAGGTAAACTCCAGGTAACTCCAGAGTTTAAGGCCCTGTAGATGTAGATTGCACAGTAGTAAGTGTGGATGTACTGAACTGGGAGTAAGTTTAGGTCTATGAAGAGTGGGGGGGGGTGTTGCCAGGGATGGGATTTAGTGATTATTCTTACTGCAGCTTTTTGTTGGGTTATTATTGGCTTTAGGTGTGTTGCTGCAGTTGATCCCCAAGCACAAATAGCATAGGTGAGGTATGGATAAATAAGTGAGTGGTATAGTGTGAGAAGGGCATTTTGCGGCACGTAGTATCGTATCTTGGAGAGGATCCCAACCGTTTTGGATACTTTTTTGGTTATATGCTGGATATGGGTGCTGAAATTCAGGTTGTTGTCAAGGTATAAGCCTAGGAATTTGCCCCCATTATTTCTGGTAATTAGAGTGTTGTCAATCTTAATGTTAATTTGTGCATCTCCTGCTCTGCTACCAAACATAATATAGTAGGTTTTGTCAGTGTTAAGCGTAAGTTTATTGGCTGTCATCCAAGTCGATATTTTAATCAGCTCCTCATTCACAATGGTGTTGAGGGTGGCAAGATTAGGGTGAGAGATGACATAAGTCGTGTCATCAGCAAAGAGAATGGGTTTCAGGTGTTGGGATACGTTTGGAAGGTCATTGATGTATATGAGGAAGAGCAGGGGACCAAGGACACTTCCCTGCGGAACTCCAGTATCAAGTGGCCGTGTTGCTGATGCTGTGTCTTTAATGGTGACATACTGATACCTATTAGTAATGTAAGATTTGAAATAAGCAAGCGCATGGCCTCTTATACCGTAATGATCAAGTTTGTGGAGTAGGATGTCGTGGTCTACTGTGTCAAAAGCTTTTCTTAGGTCAATAAAAATTCCTAGTGGATATTCCTTATTTTCCAATGCTGTGTAAAGCAGATCTAGCATTTTTATGATTGCATCATTAGTGCTTTTATTTTTCCAGAATCCAAATTGGCAGGGGTTGAGTATGTTTTGAGCTGTTATAAATGAATACAGTCTCCTGTGCACGAGTTTCTCAAAGATTTTGGATAGCAATGGTAAGTTAGATATTGGCCTATAGTTGTTTAAGTCTGTAGGGTCACCACCTTTATGTATTGGTGTAACCCTTGCCATCTTGAGTAGTTTCGGGAAGGTGCTAGTCTCTAGTGACTTGTTAAAAAGTAATGAAATAGCATGCGAAAGGACATGGGCCGCTCGCTTGTACAGTAATGGTGGGACATGAGACAGATTCCCCAAGTTATTTTTAAGTGACTTTATAATCTCAGTGACTTCCGTGGGCTCAGTTGGTGCAAGATAGAAGGAATTAGGGAAATTCCCATCTAGGTAGTCCCCGGCAATGGGCATTGGTATGTGGGATTTTACTGGCGAGATTAGATCCTATGGTTGAGAAGAAGTCGTTTATCTTGTTAGCTGTGTCAGTGGGATGTAGTGGTGTTTCATTAGGTTTAGTTAGGACAATATTCTTGGTTTTTCTCAGTTTGTGGGTCCCTAGAATCTGAGAGAGTGTTTTCCAGGTCTTTTTTATATCTCCTCTAGTGTCTGTGAATCTATTGGAGTAGTATAGTTGTTTGGCTTTCTTTATTACTTTGGTGAGAGCTGATGAATAGTGTTTAAGAATATCTTTGTGTATTAAGCCCTGTCTATATTGCTTTTCATATTGGTGTTTCTTGTCAATGGATTTCAGAATGGTGCTAGTTAGCCATGGGCAACCAAGCCGTTTGTTTGTGATCTGTTTTGTTTTTATAGGACAATGTTTGTTGTATAGTCTAAGTAATTTGTTAAGAAAAATGTCTGTCCAGTCATCAATACCATTGGCCTTGGAGAATTCTGTAGGCCAATCAACAGTCTCTAGGTCAGCTGTGAACTTCCTTACTGAGGTCTCGTCATGGAGTCTAAATGAGACTTTGTTGTATTCAAGTGGTGGTTTACTAATGTTTGTCAGGAGGAAGGTAGGGTAGTGGTCTGTAGTGCTATCTGTGATTATCCCTGATTTAAGGGGGGCTAGTATATTGGTCCATATGTGGTCTATTATGGTTGCACTTGTCTCAGTGAGCCTGGTTGGTTTAGTTATTGTTGGTATGAGAAGTGTGTTGTTCATATTGTTGATGAAATCAGTTACAGGCTGATCATCTAGTAAGCCAAGGTTGATGTTGAAGTCTCCAGCTAAGAGAAGGTGGTGCTTATTCATTTGTCTGTTTGTTATTAGTGACTTTAATTTCTCACTGAAATTTGGGATGTTTGTGTGAGGTATCTGGTAAATGGCACCGATTGTTATAGGTGTCTTAAGTTTTTTACAGTAAAATTAGCAAAAATGTATTCCCCATATTCATCACTAAAGCAAGTGGTGCTAAGACAAGATAATTGGTTAGAGTAATAGATTGCAATACCACCCCAACTTGGTTTTGGTCTGCAGTTGTGAATTGCTGTGTATCCTGGTAGAGGGTAGATATCTATTGTGTCCTGTTTAAGCCAGGTCTCAGTAAGAATAATGTAGGAGAAGGGTGTCTTTAGTGATTCAAGGAGTGCTAGGAGGTCATCATAGTGTTTGCTTAAGGACCTGATGTTGTAGTTAAGTACTGATAGACTTTTAGCATTGTTTAGGATAGTGGTGGCTTGTGATGCTGTGTAATAAAGGAAGTTACTTTCCAATAGGTTTTGATTGGGTGTCAGATTATGGAGGTTTAGATCAGGGTCAACGTGATCAATCATCTTCTAGGTTTAAATTATGGTTATTTATATCCTGAGTTGTGTGTTGAGTTCTAGTACTGATATCTGTAGTTGTAGGGAGTTTGGACAAGTATATAGCTAGAGTATTTTGGTCATGTAGGGTATAGTCACTACTACACATAATGAAGTTGATGTTGTCTATGTGTTGTGCTTGAATGAACTAAAGTACAACTAGGTATAAACTAGTACGTAATATAAAAATACAAATTAAAAATAGAACAAGACTCTCACTTGTAATTGCACTAAGGTCTAATAATGACTTTTGTGGAGTCTATGTTTTGAGCTAGAATGAGCTATAGTACAAATTAAAAATAGCACCAGTCTCTCACTAGTAATTGCACTATGGTCTAATATAGTGAATTTGGTATTGACTATGTATTGAGATAGAAAGAGCTATAGTACAACTAGGTTTAGTCTAATAATATAAAAATACAAATTACAAATAGCACCAGTCTCTCACTAGTAATTGCACTATGGTCTAGTATAGTGAATTTGGTATTGACTATGTATTGAGCTAGAATGAGCTAGAGTAAAACTGTGATTAATCTAATAATATAATAAAGGAACAAGACTCTCAATTGTAATTGCACTAAGGTCTTATATAAGTTGTTTACAAGAATTAGAGCATAATTAGATTTAAATTGACAGGATAAAATACACAAATTAAGGTAGCAAAAGAATATAAAAAAAATTATAAAAATAAAAATGGCAATGACTTGGTTATAATATGCTAGTAAGATGGTAGACAGGATAATATAAAAGTTGTAGTTGAAAATACTAGTTTTAAAAAAGTATGGAGTAAAAATGGTCAATAAAAGAAGTTTACAATAAGTTTGATCAATATAGTTTAAAGTAAAATTGGGCAATAATAGGGATTTAGAATAAAATTGGGCAATTGAGTATTTTTTAAAGTGAGGTAGAATTATTGAAGACAAGTTATGGTTAGTTTATAATAAAATAAGATGGAACAGTGATGTAGTAAGTTGTAAAAAAGGAGATAGATTCTGTAGATATTAAACACAATTAAGACTATGAGGTAGAATGGTCGTTGAATACAACAATGACAATCAAAAGTAGTTGGGGTATTAGAATTTTAGGGGGGCACAAATTTATGACAATATAACACTAACGGTGGACTATGGGTATTATCTGCACTTTACTCTGATTCTGTTAGTCCAGCCTCACTTAGGAATGTTTTAAGGTCATGTTCTGTAGAGATGAAGTATCTCTTCCCAGTGGGCTGTTTCCTAACTGCGATTTTTCCATCCCTCACAAAGCACTGGTGGATTTTTTGGGCATAGCGCAATTTTCTTAGCCGATAAAGAAGGTTTTGTCTTGTTTTGGTAAGGCACTCATTGACGTAAACATCAGTTTTCATAGAAATAGATGTTTTTAGTAGGTTGTTTCTTTGTAGGCTAGTTTGGAATTTTAACAGCACTGTTTTTTTTTACCTGCTTGGTAGCCCATCAGTATGCAATCCTTTAGGTCGTCACTACGTATATTAAGGCGAAGGTGGTCCTTGGTAAGCTGTAGGGTGGTCTCCATGCAGGTCTCTACTACACCCAGCACCCTCATTACTCCACCCACCACCATATCTACTTCACCCACCATTATCACTGATTCATCCACCACCACTACTCCACCCACCACCATCACTACTCCATCCACCACTGTCACTACTACACCCACCATTATCAGTACTCCACCCACCACTATCAGTACTCCACCCACTACCATCACTACTCCACCCATCACCATCACTACTCCACCCACCACCATCACTACTCCACCCACCACCGTCACTACTCCACCGACCACCACTACACCCACCACTATCAGTACTCCACCCCCCTTAATTAATGTTTCTGGACAAACTCTGAGTGTTGAAACGGAGGTTACCTCTTCCCGGGATTTATACGAGAATCAAACAAGGGACGAGGTACCTCACTACAGTCTGGGATTAGTGTGGGAGTATTATCCTTCCACTTACGTCTTGGAAGAGCATGTGGGATGGGACAAAGTACAGTACCTAACATTCCTCTGGGTACAGAGTCGGATTTGACTTCAGATACGCCTTCAATTAGTGGCAGTGTACTGGAGCTCGCTCGTAACTCAGAGTTTGGCTTGCAACTCAAAGCAAAAAATCGACCAAGCGATGGCTCGTAACTAGGAAAACTCGTAAGTTGGGGCACTCGTAAGTCAAGGTACCACTGTATTTCGGTATTGAGTCAAAGGTATTCTCCAGTAATATTAACAAAAGAGAATCATCCAACTTACACCAGCAGAACAGAACCAGGTTGCTTCAGATGTTGCACAAAAGTCTTTAGTCCACAGTGTCATAAAAGCAGCTGCTTAGAGCACCAAAAAATATAAAAGCTAATCAAAATTTATTTCCAAAAGTAATTACTGATATGTAATAGATAATGCAGGCATAATGTATAGAAGTAGTAACATTTTACAAAGCCTTTCAGTTCATGAGCACCACCACCACCACCACCTCTTCTTCTTCCTCCTTCCTCCTGTCGCTGCTGCTGCTGCTGTTGTTGCTTCTCCTCCTCCTGCTGCTGCTGTACCACTACCACTACAGTATTGTTCTCAGTGTTTTGAGTAAGGTTTAATCTCTTATCTAAATGTTTCTCTTGTGCTCAGCGGATTTAACAAACCTGGTGTGCTGATTATGTAGTGTGATTTTCTTGCAACTTTCAACTCTAATGTACCCTAACAGATAGAGCTGGTTTAGGTGTTCGTTTCTCAAGAATAAATTTGTATTTAGTTCATCCTTAAAGTCTGTTTTTTTCACGTGCTAGCTTGTAAAGATTTTTCTTGGTTAGGTAAGGTTTGTCAGGAAACAGGAAAAATGTTTACTGACGTGGATCTTAGTCAGATGATGACTCACCGTTGGAGTTTCTGGTCATCTGACTGAGGCCTTCTGCTGGCTTACCAGTCCACCCCTTTAAAAATTATGGTAATAGTTATAATCATTTATTGAGATTAAGATTTTTCTACATTTTAAAATAATTATGCTTTCTTTTTTCAGATAAGGCTTACCTTCAATATGATATAGATTCAGCAAAGAAAATTGTTGATCTTCAGCACACTGTGGTCCCTGCAGCATTTAGGGGTCACGGTATTGGTAAAGTTCTTGCTAAGGTAACATAACCTATGTACTATATCAGCATTGTATTTCAGACTCCTTATCAGAAAAAAAAGGGAGAAATATGAAGGCATGAGGGAGATTGGAGTTACAGTACTGGCATTATTATGGATTTTTTGAACATTCGATACTTTTCTACTAAAAGGTAAATTAAGCCAATGTCATTGATTGCTAATGATTTGTCTTGATACATTAGTACAGGGCAACTATTTAAAATTAACTTTAAAAAGGGTTAAGATTATTGTGAGTTTTTGTTTGGTAACTGAAGGAACAATGGATGGTAACACAGAATTAGACAGGCTGCATGGTGTTTACCTAGATGCTTGTCTCAGTTGCTGTCCTGGTTTGGTTTTCTGCTTTTTATTGACTGTGATGATTCCGTTAATGTGTACTATTTTCTGTGCCCATGTTTGCTGCTAAAAGTGCCTTTTGTTAGAAAGTCAGCAGAAATGGGTAAAAGTAACGATTTGAATCCTCATATAGTGGGACAGATAAGCATTTTATCAAGTGATACCACATTGAAACAGAAAGAAATAGCAATAAAACTTGGTGTTTCAACTCAGTCAGTAAAAGTAAGAAGAAATTTAATGACAATCAAGATTTAAACTTAAAATGGGTGGAAATATGTGGTAGAACACAGAAAACCCCACCAAGATTAGACAGGCAGATTTCCTCTGACCTAGCAGTAGCAGATGTTAGCCTTCCCCAAAGGACAGTTATTGAGGCTTTTGAAAGAATGTCACCCCAGAAAGAAGCAACAACTTACTGAACCCATGATATGGAAACATTTAGCCTGGGCTAAGAATCACATTGAGTGGACTTAGAGAATGAGAGCAGGTAAGAATTACATTTAGCTAATCAGTTCATTTGTTGTTCATAAAAGACCATTAATTATCGATAAAATGACAATTCTATTTTAAAAAATTCAGATTATCATTCATCTTCTCTGATTGTTCCACTACTTTTATTGTCTTTTCTATTGTTGTAGGTGGTGTTAAGATTACTATTCATCTTCTCTGGTTGTTCTATTACAGCCTCTCCTCACTTAGCGACAAACTCGTTTACTGACGACTCGGACTTACGACAGGCTCTCTGACCAGTATGCATACCGAAATACAGTGGACCCCCGCATAACGATGGCATCGCATAGCGATTTTTCCGCATAACGATTACTTTTATCGCAAAATTTTTGCCCCGCATACCGATTAAAAACCCGCATACCGATTTTCGTCCGAGACGCGTCCAATGTGCCCTCACATGTGCCGGCCGTCCCATTGTTTACCAGCCAGCCTCCGCGGTAACATCCAAGCATACACTCGGAATATTTCGTATTATTACAGTGTTTTCGGTGGTGTTTCTGGAAAATAAGTGACCATGGCCCAAGAAAGCTTCTAGTGCCAACCTGTGGTAAAAGGGTGAGAATTATATGGAAATTAGAAAGATTTTGAAGGGTTTGGGGCTAACCCTGAGAAGCCTATGCCAGTTGTGGAATCATTGTGGCCTACTTCAAAGATTTAAGGAAATGTTTGTGAGTTTGTTTGAACTGCAAACCTTTATGGATGAAAATACACCCTGACACTAGCTGTTGCAAGCCGTTGCTGTGCTGTGATATTTCAATGGACAATGTTTCTGGCCCATTTTAGGAAAGTCTTGAAGAAACGGGAGGTACAGTAGCTCTATGGGACAGATAGTTGTTTGCGCAGAGGTCCAGTGACTCTGAAGCTGGTCCTAGTGGCATAAAAGTAAGAAAAGACAAGGGGGAAAAGTAAACCCCAGAAAAGGACTTGCTACCAAATCAAGTCCTCAATGGAAGGGGATTCCTTCTAAACAGTATTGAAAGATAATGCTCTCCCCCTCCTCCCATCCATCAACATCAAACCATGATCTTAATAAAACAGTAAGTGTCATTGCTAATGTCATGTTTTTCATAAAGACCATGTAATTATCGATAAAATACAATTCATTTTAAAAAATTCAATATCATTCTTCTCTGTTATTCCACTTTTATTGTCTTTTCTATTGTTTAAGTGTTTAGTATTACTATTCTTCTCTCTGGTTGTTCATTACAGCCTCTCCTCACTTACGACAAACTCTTTACTGACGACTACGACTTACGACAGCTCTCTGACCAGTTAATGCATACCGAAATAATGTATATTAGAGCTGATTTCCTCTATTCTGTTTATTTCAGTATACAGTACACTACAGTATAAACATTTAAAAATGTACTAAAAATGTTATAAATGGTGCAAAGGTGACATTAAAACAATATCAAATGGTTGACACAAACCCACTACCATTATAGTATGCTCCTTGCTTAGCGACGAATTCATTTACCTACTTGATCTTAGAAGTGGAACTCTGTCATTCAGTGAGGAGAGGCTGTACTTCTATTATCTTTTCTACTGTTGCATGTGGTATTCTTTGATAAATCAACCATTGTGTGCTGACTGTAAGAAGGCGGTCAGGTGAGGAATTTATGCCTGAATGTCTAAAGAAGACGGTAAAATTTCCTCAGTAAATCACGGTGTGGGGAGCCATTTCCATTCATGGAACATGTTGTTTGTACATGGTTGAGGGTACCATGAACCAGATTAAGTATATACCTGGAGTATATCTGGAGGGTGTTTTGGGGGTCACTGCCCACGTGGCTCAGTTGCTGCCTCAGATAAGGTATTGGTATGGTGATGGTCATTGGATATTCCAACAACCAAGTGCAGCTCATAGAATGCCTTATTAAGGTTCGGTTTCATTCTGGCAATATCAAGGAATCAAGTATCAGTGATTATGTGTGAGTGAGGTGAAAGTGTTGAATGATGATGAAAGTATTTTCTTTTTGCGGATTTTCTTTCTTTCTGGGTCACCCTGCCTCGGTGGGAGACGGCCGACTTGTTAAAAAAAAAAAACGATGCCTACACGTGTTAACCCTTAAACTGTCCAAACGTAGATCTACATTGACGTGCATAGTGCTCCAACCTTGATTTTCTCCATTTGAAAGCATGTAAAATTGGACGTAGATCTATGCTCGGAGCACTGTGCATGTCAGTGTAGATCTACGTTTGGACAGAATGCTAGGGGTGGTCAAACCAAATATTAATCAATGTAAATTAGTTGGCCTGTACTGATGTATCAATATAGATCCATTAGCAGTCAGTGAAATTGGTGTAATTGACCTTGTAGTAGAAAAATAACTAATTTTTAAAAAATCCATAATAATAATATTGCCAGTACTGCATAAAGCTTAAGTTACCATGCTCTTTCATGTGACTGAGTCTAACTTATAGATGCAAAGACAATATCTATATTTTCCACAAAGCATTAAGGAATTCATTCATTCACTAACCTGGATTTGGGCTCTTGATCTGTATTTATTGTTATTATTATTATTATTATTATCAGAGAGAAGCAATAAATTCATGGTGCTCATACTGTGCCTGGGGGAATGGGAACCAATTAATTTTGCTCCAGGGAAAGGGTAGGTTAAATTTCTAGCATCAAGAGCCCCTTACTGGCATCAAAGTATCTTCTTCGAGGGGTGTACAGTGGACCCTCGACTAACGCTATTAATCCGTTCCTGAGAGCTCATCGTTAGTCAGAATAATCGTTAGTCAAGTTAATTTTCCCCATAAGAAATAATGGAAATCAAATTAATCCGTGCAAGACACCCAAAAGTATTGAAAAAAAAAATTTTAACACATGAAATATTAATTGTAATACACACAAACTGAAGAAGACATGCACAGTTACATGACACTTACCTTTATTGAAGATCTGGTGATGATTGATGGGATGGGAAGAGGGGAGTGTGCTGATGGTCTTAGTGTTTAGAAGGGGAATCCCCTTCCATTAGGACTTGAGGTGGCAAGTCCTTTTTCGGGGTTACTTCCCTTCTTCTTTTAATGCCACTAGGACCAGCTTGAGAGTCACTGGACCTCTGTCGCACAACATATCTGCCCATAGAGGCCTGTACCTCCCGTTCCTTTATGACATTCCTAAAGTGTTTCACAACATTGTCAGTATCACCATTAAACACTTGTTCAGGTTTCAGTCCTTCACTGTCTATGTACTCCTTGAATTCCTGCACATATTTTTCAGCTGCTTTTGGTCCAAACTGGCAGCCTCATCATCCACACATATGTATGCCACTACAATTCTTAAATCTCTCAAACCAACCTTTGCTGGCCTTAAATTCACTCACATCACCACTAGTTGCTGGCATTTTTCTAATTAAATCGTTATGCAACTTCCTAGCCTTTTCACATATGATCGCTTGAGAGATGCTATCTCCTGCTATCTGTTTTTCGTTTATCCATACCAATAACAGTCTCTCAACATCTTCTATCACTTGCGATCTCAGTTTCGAAAACAGTTGCACCTTTGGCAAGAACAGCTTCCTTTATTGCCGTTTTCTTGGCCACAATAGTAGCGATGGTTGATTGGGGGTTTTGTGTACAGCCTGGCCAGCTCGGAGACATACACTCCACTTTCATACTTAGCAATGATCTCTTTCTTCATATCCATAGTAATTCTCACCCTTTTTGTTGCTGTAGGGTTGGCACTAGAAGCTTTCTTGGGGCCCATGGTGACTTATTTTGCAGGTGCAATCACTAAAAAGGCTGTGATAACATGAAATGTTCCGATTGTATGCTTGGAAGTGACCGCGGTGGCTGGCTGGCTTCTAAACACTGGCCAGAAGTGGACGCGTCTCAGACTGAACGAATTGTGTTGGTCGAGTTTTTTAGCGCTAATCGAGGCAAAATTTTTGCGATAAAATGTATCGCTTATCAGATTTATCGTTAATCGATGCCATCGCTGGTCGAGGGTCCACTGTATTGTAGTTAACAATATATTTTAATTGACTTGTACATTTTAATGAATTTGCTATATTTTTATTTTTTTGCTAAATTGTATTTTTAGTGACACTGTGTTTTTAGTTTTCCATTAGAAAAATTTAATGTAAATATCTTATATTCATTACAGGCATCATTTGAACACTTTGCTGAAAGTAATATGCAGATGAAACTGACATGCTGGTATCTTAAGAAGTACTACCAGGAGAATCCACTTCCACATCACCAAGAGAAAGTGTTAGTTGACTCATAGAAAAGGATTTATTAATGGAATGATTTTCATGAACACAGCCTTAGCTAATATACATAACCCATGGAGGGAATAGAATTCCCCCTGATCCTAAAGATGCTCTGGAGTCTTTACTGCAGTATGGGAGGGATGTCTTTCCGAAGCTGTGTGTTTCATACAGATGACTGCTTACAATCGCATTTTCAATCGCAAGTTGTGAAAGGTCATTTTCGAAACTGAAATTAATAAAAACGTATCTGAGGTCTTGAATGTCACAGGAGCAACTGATCGACCAACCAACCTGGCATTGAAAAAGAATTCCTCACAGCTGATGTAAAAAGTAAAGTAGTTCAAGTGTTTTCTGAGAGGAGGTATCATATGGGGAAAAGAACTTAAATTTGGTTGATTTATATTTAAATTGAATAGTGTTTATTTCATGTTTCATCTGTGTTTACATATTCAAAATATCTTCCTTTCTAAATATTTCTCAGTACTAAGCCATATACTTGAGTCTTTGGGGCATACAATCAAGGAGTTGCCCCGGACATCACCAGACCTCTGCATGCCACTGCTTGAGGGGGTTATATACCATGGAGTATCTTATACATCATTTATTTATTTAATGTCTTTGCAAATAGTACATTGAGATTGTGTATATACAATAGTGGGTTGCAATGCAAAGAGAGCCTCTATTATGCCTTGGCATTATTGGCTTCATCATGTCTAATCTTATTCTGTGCTCCTTCAGTGATGAGGGCCCAGTATGCCAGCAGTTGCTTGATCACTGAGCAAAACCATTGGGTATATACAGTATTCATCAACTTATTGGTATGTAATTATTAATTCATGTTAAGCACTAAACCCATATGGGTCATTCAGCGCAAGACGTGATGGAGGCTCGATCCTTCATCTGTTGAGTGTGAGACGGACGCGCTTCCTGTTTGTACTCTCCTAGTTGTCTTATTGGTATGCAGTATAAGAGATGTGCAACACTTGGTAATTTAATTGATGAAGTGTTTTGTCTGTGTTTGCTGGCAAGCTTTGTCAGTCAAATATAACACTAGACAGTGGTAGCAATGAGGTGATCAGTCTCTCAGACTTGATAGGTAGTGGTCAGTTCCTCAGCTGAGGAACTGAAACCACCTACCAAGACTAAGGGATTGTTCACCTTATCTCTCTGCAGTGTTATAATTGGCTGTATTTGACTGAAGCAGCCTACTACACAGGTAAAAATATTTGATACTTAAGTGTGGCATATGTCTTCATATCAGGTATTACCCCTACTCTGTACTGTACTTTAATATTTATTACCAAGTAAACACAATTGGATAACATTTTTTTATTATCAATTAACTTTTTAATACCCCAATTCACATATGCATAGTTTTTTCTATTTGTTTACTTATAAGTCAGGTTATTATGGAAGCAAGGGTTAAAATGTAAACAAACTGCAGAATGTAACTTTAATATTCAAGGTAATCAACCTCATCTTTGGCTTACAAATAAAGATTTTTTTTATGAAACACCAATTACAGTATTAATCATAAATTATACAAGTGGCATACACTAAAGAAACCTTAACTAATGCAAATTTAATGTATTATTAATATAAAAGTATACTTGCTTTCCTGTTGGTTTGCACTTATTTGTACCTATGACCTTAAATTTGCTTTATCCTTTCAAAGTATATTTAATATCTCATAACATTGTGTAATATTGTGCTGTATAGCCCTTGTGGCTTAGCGCTTCTTTTTGATTATAATAATAATGTGTAATATTGTTTCAAACAAAATCTAAATCACACAAGTCATACTGAAGAAAATGGCATACAAGAAACAAAAATGGCACAATCATAATTTTGTTAAGTTTTTTAGAATATTACAAGAGATTGCTTAGGATACCTGGATGCTAATGCCAAAATTATACAGGCATAAATGATAAACAATTCTGGTTGCAAAGTGTTCGAACCCAGGATCGTGTGCCCCTCTCATTGGACACAATTTAGTAAATGTGTAGTTACTAACTGGAAACTTTTCAAGGGTTTCAGTAAATATATGATGTTACCTGTATAAATCATGGCTTTTAATTATGAAAACACATTTCTGCACTAGGAGCACAGCCAGCCAATAATTATAACTGTTTGCCTTAGCACAGTATGGGTTATAACTATCTTGTACTTTTCAGCTCTGTATGTCTTATTTAGTCATTTTTTTCTTCTTGATTTCAATTTTCTGGTGTGTAACAATGAGAACTAACCGATCACTCTAACCAGTTTGAAATGGCCAACTTGGGAGGTAGCTACCTTTTTGGATCATTAAGCCCCTATGTAGAAATTTAAAAAAAAAAAAAAACATGTACCAAATTAGGTCTCTGAGGGCCCACTGACAATAACTGTAAAACAAAAGATGGAATTCCAAGTGCCTTGGCACAGAGACGGAAACTCATCACCTATGAGCCAAACTGCTCCTATGCATATTTGGCTGGATGCTACTGCATACGATCTTTTACTGTAGGACCTGAGCAAAGCTCCACATGCATACCTAGAGATTAACTAAAGTCAACCTTTTGTGCTAGGCAGAAAAAATATTCACTAGAACAACCAGCTACCCACCACCTTGCAAATAAACTGAACAGTTGAATACCATGATACTACTAATTTATACAGGTAGGATATGCCATGCCATAACCTAGACAGTGTCCAAATGAAGAAGTGTTTTACAAATTTAAAGTCCCAGTCACACTGGGTCTCACACACTGAGGATGACTGTGTATCAGTATTATTCTTAATAGAATCTGGGCAAAATATGTCCCATAGGGCATGAAGATGCAGTTTGGGAATAGGTCATGTGTCATAAAGCTTCCTATATCAACAGTGCAAAAGAGAAGTACTACTAGAACCTGAAATTCCTCGAAACAAGTAACAGCACTTATATTTTCTCATCAAACCTTCCAGGAATAGATAGAGCAATAGAGTATGTGATGAACCCAAATAGTAATGGAATCCCCTTTCTAGGTACCATAAGGTTCCAAAGACTCTTAAGCCAATTACTGTGCATCAAAACTGAGAGAACAAAGTGGTTGTCTTATCAGACTTGCAGAATTTGAGTTCCCAAGTAGAGGACTCCAAGAATAACTTTGCCCTTTCTTGGAATGCAAGCAAATGAGTAGAGGAATTGACTGCAGAGCGGTTGGTAAGTCATACTGTTGGATTCTGGTTAGATGTGTACTTTATTGTGTGGATCCAGATAGAAAAAGGGAAAGGAGGCATGCCAAGCTAAAAGGTGAATCCTAAATAACAGTGCTTTAAAGCAAGTACAGGCAACATTATGGGCTGGTTGTGTTCTAAGGAGTTATCAAAGCCCAAACACAGAAATATAATGTTTGAGATTTTTAAAGAGAACACAAATGTAACAGCCATGAACACATTAAAATTTACTGGAAGTTTGAAAGGCTACAGAATTTTCACACTCTAAGAGCACCATATCCAACACTATTTGCACTGTCCTTACATAGTTAAATAAGCAGTACTGTACCTTTCACATTAATAAATTAATAAATTAAAATTAATTTTTAATTAACTGATAGAGCAAATCTGCCGTCTTACAAATAAAATATTTCACGTGTGCAAAATCAAGCAGGTACCAATAAGAAATTAATTCTCATCACTCTTGTGCTACTAATAAAGAATAGTGTATATACATGTATATCAAAATACATACAGTACTAATTTTCTTGAAAATGTATATACTAAGTTAACATTATCATGCCAATACAGATTTAGAGAAAATACTACAGCTCAGCTTTTCAATGCAGTACTTCATTCCAGATTTCTAATATCAGGCACTTGTGTATATGTCACACATACTCAAATACAAAGGTCCTTAGCCTAACTGTAATTGTAGTATTGACTCAAGCTTTCTCTCTGTCTTCCCTATCAAAGTAAAACATGAAAATAATTTTACATCACCTTGCAAATAGGAGGTAAAATTTACACACAATACAATTTACCTAACCAATTAAACAATTTGCATACATCAACTATATCTCACCTTTTCCTTAGGAGTGAAGGATTGCTAATCGTGAGCCGGCCTTTATCATCAGTGTTGTCACTTCACCCCTTGAGCAAAACACTAAGTACTTTCCATGAGCACATACACTTAATTTCCTTTGAATGAGTTGCCATAATCTCTGGTGAAATTACAGCAATTCATGTACATACAACTTAATTCTAAACCTTTTGATTTCCAATGCTGACTCAGAGTAAGTCATTATTATTCATATGGATAGCAACTCCAGCACTACACAACTTGTAATTTATGTGCATATCTTTAGTAACCAATTATCTATATTAAAATGAACTTTTTATGCAGGTTATAATTTTTAATTGTTACTCAGAGTAGAAGATTAACCCGTAAACGGTCTAAACGTATATATACGTTTTTTCAACATTTGAAAGTATGTAAAAAAAGTAGATTTTTTTTTTTTTTGTACATTTGAAAACGTGTAAAAAAAACTTTGATCTACTTTTTTTTTTCTTATATTTGAAAATATGTAAAAAAACGTAGATCTACTTTTGGAGCACTACGCATGTGAACGTAGATCTGCTTGGACAGTTTAAGGGTTAAAAAAAAAGAATTACAAATGTAATAGGGACTGAAAACTATTAACATACAGTGGACCCCCGCATAACGATTACCTCCGAATGCGACCAATTATGTTAGTGTATTTATGTAAGTGCGCTTTGTACGTGTATGTTTGGGGGTCTGAAATGGACTAATCTACTTCACAATATTCCTTATGGGAATAAATTCGGTCAGTACTGGCACCTGAACATACTTATGGAGTGAAAAAATATCGTTAACCGGGGGTCCACTGTATTAAGCTGTCCTATACCATTAGCCACTATGGCATGGTACTGCAGATATGCATGTGGATTGATGAGTCAAGCTGACTACAATTGGAATAGTAATTGGACTGATGACCAGATGTAATGAGATTCACTCTTGTTTAAGGTCACAACAATATAGTTAACCCTTAAACTGTCCACATGTAGATATACATTGACGTGCAGCAGGCTCTGAACATAGATCTACTTTTTTTTACATGCTTTCAAATGGGGAAAATCAAGGTCGGAGAGCTACGCATGCGAACGTAGATCTACGTTTGGACAGTTTAAGTGTTAAAGGTTTCCTATTCCAGACAGGGTATAATAGTTGTATCTCTTTCAGAGATGGTTTTGGGCTAACTGCACTAGCTCACACAGCTTTAAATTATCATGGCTATATTGATTTTTTACCTGACAAATCCATCCACTTTAACCCTTTCACTGTCGGTCCTGTAATATTACGGCTTGCAAGCCAGTGTCTGTCCCATAATATTACGCCAAAATTCTAGCGGCTTCCAGTCTTGTGGGAGAAAGCTGGTAGGCCTACATATGAGAGGATGGGTCTGAGTGGTCAGTGTGTGCAGTATAAAATAAATCCTGCAGCACGCAGTGCATGAGAAAAAACAAAACTCCGACCATGTTTTTGGTTTAAAACACTGACTTTGCAGTGTATTTTTGTTTGGTATTCTCATTTTCTTGGTCTCATTTGATAGAATTGAAGATATATTATAGAAATAGATATGATCTTTTGAATGGTTTTCTGACTAAAAGTACCTTGAAACTGAGCTCAAAGTAATGGAAATGTTCAATTTTTGCCAATGTTCAAGAGTAAACAAATTAAGTCATGCATCCAATACACATCAACTGGTGGGTCTAATATGCTTTCACAAATGCACTGATATTATTTATACCATTTTTACAATAATGCAGTAGTCTGCATAACAGTAAATCTTCTATTTTTTGTGTGAATAAAAATTCAAAATGGAAAGCAAGCATAATGTAAGAGGAGCCTGGAGACATGACTAATGAACAGAGAAAATGTTATTTTAGTGCTAGGAATGTTTGTATTAATTCTGGACCCTATTTTGAAATGAGGCTTACTTGAATTGTGTATGAAATTGGCCAAATTACCATTTTCTGATCACTTTATTGGGTAGCTGAAATTGGTAAATGGGCAGTTTCTTGTACCAAGTCAATAGAACAATTGGAGTTCTAGCAAAATAGCTATGAGTTTGGTCGACTGGAACAATGGAATTGGCCAAAAACAGGGTCAAAGTGGGTGAAATTGCCGATGCGTAAATATTGCCAAGGCTGCTAACTTCGCAAGAGCGTAATTCCGTAAGTTTTCCATCAAATTTCGTACGTTTGGTGTCATTACCATCAGAAAAAGATTCTCTACCATCTCATGAGAAAAAATATTTTTTTTTTTAAATTCTTCTGAACAGAACAAGTTTGTGATACGGAGTTTCGACAGTGAAAGGGTTAAGATGCTGTCGATTCTCAAAAAAGTGTTAAATACACTGTCTTAATAGTAACTGCTCAAAAATACTGAAAATTCTAAGCACTAAAATTCATGGGAGATCTACTGTAATATAGTGTAGAGTGCTCGACACTTAAACCTGAGAATCTTGTCCCAGTTAATGTTTATATACGTATAAATAAGAATTTGCATTAACAAAAATATAATACACATAACCCATACTCAGGAGATGCGAAAGTAATAACATTTCGGTCCCTCTATTAAGTGCAGGCTATTTGTGTATTGTTCCAGCCACAATAATGTGACTTTATTCTTCAAAAATGTAAAACTGAAAAAGGCAAGTTGTTATAGTGGTAACATTATTATTATTATTATAATAATCAGAGAAAGCATTGAACTGACAAGGGTCTATAGTGGTAAATGCAATGGTCCCTTGCATAGTGTGAACTGAACCAACTCCAGTTTACCTGGTCTGCAGGAAACCTGCCAAATTTATTTTCATACTCAGGGAAAAAGCAGGAGTAAAACAAAAAACAAACAAAAAAAAAATTCATGATGTGAACAATAAAAGTCTAGGTGGTTGGGTACATAGGCGGTCCCTGCTTTATAGCGCTTCGCTTTACAGAATTTTGCTAATGCAGCACTTTTCAATTATACCTATTCTTCATTGATTCAGACTTCCTACAATAAATATATATTCACCACTCACTATAAGATAAAGACAAAAATATTTTAAGGTAAGTAATGTGTGTAGTGTACAGTATATGTATTATTTTAGGCATAGCTGTTGCTCACTTAATATGTGACAGGGCAAACATGTTATCAGGCTTTTATATGCATTTGAAACTGGAAAAAAAGGATGTTTCACTTTACAGCAATTTTTGTTTTACAGCAGTACCCCAGAACCCAACCTGCCGTATAAGCGGGGCCTACTTGTTTGTATTTAACCTTGCATCATCTGGAAACAAAGAAGGTGAATTTACTGACCTATTGATTTTACACTGTGCCATGATCAAATGCAAATATTGAAAAATGGATACAAATGGATCTGAAGAGGCTCTAGGCCTAGTCTGACAAATAGCTCCTGGAGTTCAACCCCACCAAGTGCAAAGTTATGAAGCCTGGAATAATAAAAAGAAGACCGCAGACAGAGTACAGGCTCAGGGGGTGTAAACCTCACTCAAGGTGAAAGACCCAGGGGTGAGTATCATACCAGGTATATTACCTGAGGTGCACATCAATCAAATAACTGCTGCAGCAAATGCATGTCTGGTAAATCTAGGAGTAGCTTTTCGACATCTAATAAGGAGTCATTCACAACACTGCTAAATGCATAAGGGTCATTTAGTGCTGTACTGCATTTTTATTATTTATTAATATCATTGGGTACACAAATACCTTTTATCCAACACTTCATACTTCCAGCATGTACTGGTCACAGATTGGGCCGCGGGGGTGTTGACCCCCGGAACTCTTTCCAGGTAAAACTCCAGGTAAACACACAATCATAACGAAGCACTAAACTCTTAATGGTCATTCTTGCTGACACAACCTGAGTGTTTTCTTATACAGGATATTACATTCCACTGGAAATTGAGTTTTCTAGCATATTTTTTCTCTGATATAACCCACAAGTCTGCAAACACACTAGTACCTATTTTTGCTGCTTGATGGGAAGAAGCAGCAAGGAAGTAAGGAAAACTGCCCATAACCAGAGATAAGAGAGATGATGTGGGTGAGGAAGGAGAGAAGTGGTGATGAGGGAAGGACATTAGCAGAAAGGATAGGAGTCACAGTTGATGTAACAATTTAGTTTCAGTAAAGATATCACAGGAAGTTTCTCCATTCATGCAAATTAACATTTTTAGAAGTGAAGATGGTCTGTACCTAAAATAAACACTAATTTTGTATGTGGCTGCCAAATTTAAATAAATAAAAAAGATAAACATAATAATGATATACTGTACACTGATTAAATGTCTGTAACACTTAACTGCTTATATATCTAATCAATTTATGTACACCACTTATATGGTCACCTTATACATCGACATCTACATAACCCAAAACACTAGTTTAAAGTTAAAATTTTGCTGGCTTTACTTATCTTTGCTAACAGCAAATCTGAGATGAAGCAAACTAATTTTCATAGTGTATTGCTGCTTTAAGCCCAAAGCATCGTAGTCATCCCACATCACACCTGTTTGACCTGTTGTTTACAAGTGATGACTAGTTAAACTGATTTAAATATTTCTTTATTTAGTTCACAGTAATGTTTGATCAAAAGCTTAATTTTACACCTCTTCTGGTTTAAAAAGGAAGATACAAATATAAAAGGTGCTAGAAATTGTCAAGTACCAAAAATAATGGCTCAGTGAAGATTTTATTTTTCAACACGCTGGCTGTCTCCCACTGAGCCATTAAACCCTGTTAAACTCATGTTGGTCCTGCAACACTGCAAGTGAAGATGAAAAATAATGTGGTATTTATCCAGAAAAAAACAGCATAATTATAGAAACTAGATCTCAAGTATTTCTAACTTCCAGGTTGAGTTTATTGTTGGTGAAACTTCAATACAGGCAGTTCTGCAATATACGAACACCAAAATTACCAGCATCCACACTTGCAAGCAAACTCCAAAAGTAAGTTTTACAAACTTCAATCCACATACTATGTATAAACATATTTGACATATAACCACCTTTTGTACTATCGTTTTCTATAGGAAAATGGATTCAGAGTTAAAAATAATTCATTTGTAAATTTATAGCAGTGATAACTTTTTAATAAACATTACTGGCTAGGATGAATTACACTCAGCAACACTACTGTCACTCTTCACCTTCAGTGGATTGCTGCTGGTCTTGATTTCAGATATATGAGGTGCAACGATAGCATATGCTATATTAAAAGTACAGTGGACCCCCGGTATTCGATGGCATCGGTATTCGATAAATCCGGTATTCGATGCATTATATCACAAAAAAATTTCATCGGTATTAGATTGAAAACCCGGTATTCGATACGATTCGTACGAGACCTGTCCACATGTGGCCTGAACTGCCCCTTGTGTGCCAGCGTTTACAAGCCAGGATACATTCGGTACATTCCATATTATCCATATTATCACTGTGTTTGGTGCTTGTTTCTGCAAAATAAGTCACCATGGGCCCCAAGAAAGCTTCTAGTGCCAACCCTGTGGTAAAAAGGGTGAGAATTAGTATGGAAATTAAGAAAGATTTTGAAGGGTTTGGGGCTAACTCTGAGAAGCCTATACCAGTTGTGGAATACATTGTGCCTACTTCAAAAATTAAGGAAATGTGTGCACAGTGGGTTGAATTGCAAACCTTTATGGATGAAAATCACCCTAACACAGCTATTACAATGACAATGTTGTGGCCCATTTTAGACAAATCGTAAAGGAACGGGAGGTACAGAGCTCTATGGACAGATTTGTTGTGCGACAGAGGTCCAGTGACTCTCAAGCTGGTCCTAGTGGCATTAAAAGAAGAAGGGAAGTAACCCTGGAAAAGGACTTGCTACCTCAAGTCCTAATGGAAGGGGATTCCCCTTCTGAACACTAATACCTCTCCCCTCCTTCCATCCTATCAATCATCACTAGATCTTCATTAAAGGTAAGTGTCAATTATTTTATTGTTATTGTAATTATTCTATTGCATTAAACTTAATATTTCATGTAGTAAAATTTTTTTTTCATACTTTTGGGTGTCTTGCACGGATTAATTTGATTTTCATTATTTCTTATGAGGAAAATTGATTCGGTTTTCGATATTATCGGTATTCGATGAGCTCTCAGGAATGGATTAATATCGAATACCGGGGGTCCACTGTATTTATTTTTATTTCAATGGCCATCTCCCACCAAAGTGCCGTGACCCAAAGAACAATTTAAAAATACTTGACATTTTCTTACATAAAATTGAAGTTTATTATTTCACATTTTTGCCAGAAACTCAGGGAAAACCTTTAAACTGCAGTGCTTTAGGGAACTCTATGAATATTAAAAATACAAATAAAAAAGATAGCAGTAAATCAAGATTTTGTTATCAATTTTTTTATGTTGTCCAGTTTTAGACAGGAAACGAACTTTAAAATACAGTGGACCCCCGCATAACGATGGCATCACATAGCGATTATTTCGCATACCGCTTACTTTAATTGCAAAAATTTTGCCTCACATACCGCTTAAAAACCCGCTTACCGATTTTCGTCCGAGACGCGTCCAATGTGCGGCCTGAGCCACGCTCACATGTTCCGCCGGTGGCATTGTTTACCAGCCAGCCTCCGCGGTAACATCCAAGCATACAATCGGAATATTTCGTATTATTACAGTGTTTTCGGTGCTTTTTCTGGAAAATAAGTGACCATGGGCCCCAAGAAAGCTTCTAGTGCCAACCCTACAGCAATAAGGGTGAGAATTACAATAGAGATGAAGAAAAAGATCATTGATAAGTATGAAAGTGGAGTGCATGTCTCCGAGCTGGCCAGGTTGTATAATAAACCCCAATCAACCATCGCTACTATTGGTGGTACAGCTGCTGCTGCTGCTGCACTGTCAGCTGCTGCTGCTGCTGTAGCACCGTTGTTGGTGTGACTTATTGAGAATACCAAGAAACAATTAACCCCAGAGGATTTGCCACCCAGGATAACCCAAAAAAGTCAGTGTCATCGAAGACTGTCTAACTTATTTCCATTGGGGTCCTTAATCTTGTCTCCCAGGATGCAACCCACACAAGTCGACTAACACCCAGGTGAACAGGGAAAAATGCCTGGAACTAGTGCTCATATTGGTGAATTTAAAGCCAGCAAAGGTTGGTTTGAGAGATTTAAGAATCGTAGTGGCATACACAGTGTGATAAGGCCTGTTCTGGAAGAAAATGCCAAACAGGACCTACAGTACTCAGGAGGAAAAGGCACTCCCAGGACACAGTGTCTCATCAGTCATTGCTGCATCTTCAATAAAGGTAAGTGTCATTTATTCTTCATTTAGTAGACTAGTACATGCACAATATATACTGTGCATGTACTACTCTACTATTGTGCATGTATCCTTCTCTTTGTGTGTGGGAAAATGTATATTTCATGTGGTAAAATTTTTTTTTTCATACTTTTGGGTGTCTTGCACGGATTAATTTGATTTCCATTATTTCTTATGGGGAAAATTCATTCACATAGCGATTATTTCGCATAACAATTACCCCTCTTGCACGGATTAAAATCGTTAACCGGGGGTCCACTGTAATGTCATTAAATTTGAGATCCACTGTATGTAGTGCAAAACTACATATGGTGCAATTAGATGAAACATAACTTTGATACATCTAGCCAATACAACACATGGTGGCATGCACATGCAGCATTTAAATTCAATGAAACTTCAAGTGACATCCTTCCTATTTTGTTTCCATTATCGCTCTCTTGACAAGTATTACCTACACGATTTTCTACTGTTATATACAGTTTTTTAACTATATCATCTAAGTTTATGTGCCTCTCTCAAACATCTTTATCTACTAAAGAAGATCAAGAGGAAAGGGAGCTACTTAAACAAGGTTCACCTGGAGATCACCGGCTCTAACTTAGTGAATCAATCATTCGTGTATACAAAACATGATAAAAGCGTAACAGAGAAATTGAAGACTTTATGGAAGATGTCTGTGTCAACAGAAGAGGAGCATCTAAAGAGTTCACAAACTCTGGTCTTGAAATTGTTACTCATCCCAATATTTAAATGACAAGCTTTTATTGGGACAACATTTTGATGTGCCAATCCTTATCATAACTTTATCCTCATTTAATAAATACCTTAAGAGACAATAACAATGCTCCAATAAATGTTTGTTCTGCAAATTGTCTTTTTCATTAGAGACTATCCTTCACATGGAAAAAGGCCAGTTGTTGAGGAATACTTGCATTCTAATGAGTCTCTCTCTCACCAGAAGTCGTCTTTGGTCGACTTTAAGCAAATGAAAAGTGTTACATATTTCTTTTCTTCTCCACTTAGAGATGAGTACAATACTTATACAAGCAATACTCATTTTCATAGTTTCATACTTATATTAATTACACTGCATTAAAATGTGTATATAATATAGGCTCCTTTTATTTTAATTATTTTATGTACAAGTTTTCTTTTTGATAAAAGTGTATTTATTCTTACCTTAATGTCAACAAAATTCTACTTGCCCCAAACCTAACTTTAGTCTCCCAAAACACATCCCCAGATAAAATCAGCAGTCTGTCGCATACTATATACTGTAGGACCCTCGTATCTGCAGGTCATACATTCCAAAGACCTGCCACAGATACTAGCGAATCCTACATACGTTGTTTCTCAGACATACCCATTATAAAGTTTGATAAGTTATGCTCAATCAGTAGAGAATTAGCACTTTTTCACTGATAGGAAGCACTTCACATCTTCTCTTAGACTTTGAAGAACTGCCAGCATCACTACTTTACACTCTGAGGTTATTAAGCAAAATTAAGGGTTATTTTCGGGCCACAGTAAATCATGGATAACTAAAACCATGGAAACCTGACTCACAGATACAGTGGTCCTACTGCATACAGTACAGTATATAAAATAACTCAATACTATATAATCCTGACAATATGGTGAAATGCACTTCTTAGGAATTCATTTTTCAGGTATGTGTGCTGACAAGCTGCCCAAACCTAAACTGTACTCTTTAGTAACTGCCATTAAACACAACGGTGCCTGATGAAGGTTCGGCTACCTCTGCTATGTTAGGCGGCTTCTTTCCCTCTTCACTAAAAAAAAAAAAAAAAAAATTGTAAAAAATTAAATAAAATTAAATACAGTACATGAAAAAATATAGACTAGTGTCCAATCAATATATGCTCTCATGAATTTTTGCAGTGATTCGTCAAATACCACTTGGGCTCTTGACTCAAAATCTTGCCTTGAATTGTCTGTTTTATAATTAGAGCAAATACAGTTTTACAAAATAAACATATGAGAAAAATAAAGATGTTTCATTCAAAATTTGTTAAACAGTAAATATTGTACACCACTTATTTTGTCATTCATTTTTCATTAATTATGGTTCATACTTTGTAAGTTTCAATTCTACAGTAAGCTGATTTCTTGACAAAATGCAGTTGAACAGTGTAACTATGTGCCAAGGAAAATGTGCAGCAAACATGCTAACATATACCTGCTGGATGCTCAGGCCCCTACCTTTCAAAACCTCCTTTACACCCTTCTTGGGATGTTCACTTCATCTTTTTTCATCACACACAGATAACTCTACATTAATTTTTTTATAAAAATTTCTAGCTCTGGAAGGTCAGAAGTTTAAGTTGTAGCACAGTCAACAACTCTTGTTCACTTGTATCTCATCAACTAAAAATATAATTTTAATAAAAACCCCTGTAGCTTCACTGTTTAATTTTCAGAATACATATATTACAGTTCTACAGTCTTAATCTGTACTATTAAAATAATTCTAGACCATCCACCACCACAATTTTTTTTAGGCTTGTAAATTAAATTGAAGCCAAGAATACAAAATCTTACATGGAGAAATTAGTGGTGAGCTTCTGCTCGATGTCTTGTAATGGTGTGCGGCAGCCTTGATGGGAATACTCCTCGTTATCATCCACAGAGGGAGAGCTATAAGACAATATTTAAATTAATAATTAATACCAAAAGGCACACTATATCTACACATGTATATATCAATTTTCAATCTTGCTTAGGATGCCTAATTCTAATATTGTATAAAAAGTTGAATTTTTTACTAAATTTTATTATAATTAATTTTCTTCTCATTAAATTATTTTGAAGTTAAGCACTGAAACTATTAAATTAGTAACAACTGCTCAGCTATTTATGGTTTTCACTAAAATAACTGCTCTTCAGAAAGATTTCATAAAAAATAATAACTTTATATATCATTCCATATTTAAAGTGGAATCTACTTACTCAATTAAACCTGCATACCTAACACAAACACTGACCAGAATAAAAAAAAATATTATCTGACTTGGCTTCCCAAATTAATGTTGGTGAATTACAATAAACCCATAACAGGTAAAATCTGGATAATGATTTGATCTATTTGGACAATTACCAAGCCGTGATAGGGAAACAGAGTGAAAGCCTCAAGTAAGGTCAATGCAAAGGATGGAAAGACAGCCAAGATCAGGTTAAATCACAAGAGTTCTGAATATTACAGCACTTGACAATGTAACTGAAGAGGCAAGTATCTCAGGGTAAGATTCAGATTAACCCGTAAACGGTCCAAACGTATATATACGTTTTTCAGCATTTGAAAGTATGTAAAAAAAGTAGATTTTTTTTTTTTACATTTGAAAATGTGTAAAAAACTGATTTACTTTTTTTTTTTGTTATATTTGAAAATATGTAAAAAAAACGTAGATCTACTTTTGGAGCACTACACATGTGAACGTAGATCTGCTTGGACCGTTTACAGGGTAACAATGTTGTGCATTACAGCTCATTAAGACAATGCATATGCCCCAATATTTCAGACAGTTATGTACTTTTTGCTGGTTGCCCTCTTCAGTAATTTGAAATACTCTTTCTGACCTCAAGGAACACAATACAAGTGTTCATATTGCCAACAAGTGATGATAAAGACACTAATTGCAGTGAAGTCCTCTATTGGTACAATTTTCAGCTTTTTCAAGTATACTGTACTTGAAAAAGCTAACCCATAAGTGAAATGCTACACCAGTGAAGGACTCCACTGTAATTAATGTCTATCATCACTGAAGGTAAGTAAAATAGTTTACCACATTATCTAAGTAATGTGATGGTAATGTCATTACTTAGCAAGACATTATTCCAAGATGAGTGCACAGCAGTTGGAAGAATTCTGGACATAACTAATCATTATAATCATAATGAAGTGCTAAACCCTTAAGGGTCATACAGTGATGTGGATATAACTAAACTAGAACTTTATAATGTAAATGTGCCATTTCTCAATACAGTACTTACCTAAGAGAAGATTCTGTGATGGAATCTTGAGTTTCTTTAAAACTGATGTCTTCTAAATCATGAAGGTTGATCAAAGAGAGCTCATTTTGTGGGTTTTTCTTATTATTTTTTTCTGTGTTTATGTCACCTTCAGTTGTGGTCCCTATTTGCAAAGCTTCAAGTGCTTGTTCACCATCTCTTATTAGATGATCATGTGTACTCCCTTCATTTTTAATTTCTGAAAATATTTTTTTTTAAGTACAGTAGGGCCCAAAATACAATGTTAATGCATTCCAGAAAATTCATCATAATTCGATCATTCGGTACTGGGAAATATTTTTCCATATGAAACAATGCATAATTAATTAATGTGATCCCAAGCCATAATATCCCATATCTGTATGGCAAGTGATACCTAAAACTCACAGGCCAGTGCATTAACCAGTGAGGCTTATGCTAACCTCCCTATGGTGTACAGAAATATACCTAGTTCAATGAATTTTATTAGAAAGCTGGCCAACTGGTTAATGCACTGGCCTGAGAGTTTTAGGACTCACCTGTCATGTGTTCAAGCCCCACCCATTCTATGACTTCATTTTTTACAAAAGTATATATGGGTAAATTGTCTCCTGCCCCAACACTGTAATGAGTGATTTAATAACTTTTTTATACACCTCACGTTCATTTGATAGGTGATAGTCAAAAGATGAACAACAGTACACAAGTTTATAAGTTTTAGGAAGATCACAAAAAAAAAAAAAATGGGAATAACTATACTAAAACATGAGGCATTATTTCCAGTGAAATTGGTCAGTAAAATGACTGAATAACATCCTTACCTATCACATCACTATGAGGCTCATGACCAATTGCTCCACTAAGCCTTTCATGTGATACTAAATTATTGACATCACTGCTGGTCATCAGATCATCCATACCATTGCTTGTGTATGCTTCATCAGCACCATTGCTTGTGCATGCTTCATCGGTACCATTGCAGGTAGGGCTTTCAGCTTTGCTAATAATGTCAACATCCAAATGTCTCCTGTATAATTAATAAAATATTGATAAACTTTTGTCAACATCCTGGCTAATAATTAAATAAACAATTAAAAACACAGTCATTCCTACAACTTAGCCAATTTCAATAATTCAAAGTAAGTATTTGCTAAAGTCGTTTCCAAGACTAATTTAGAACATTCACAGGTTTTTTGCTGGAGCCATTTTGCTTTGGTCTGGCACATGACCCTGAACCGAGAAAAAGCAATAGCATTTCTCTGAAGATCATTCTTTCCTATGAATATCAATGTCAATGAGATAAGGGCAATATTTAATTATCGACTAAATTCTAAAACTCAAAATGATCCAAATCCAAAACAAAATTTATTTTACAGACAACATTACCTTGGAGAATCAAGAAGCATATTATCGGTGGATCCTCTCACACTTTCAAGTGAAGCACGAGACAAGCGACCATTTGGCATCAACTGACTGCTAGCAAGGCTGACAACATCTTCATCATATATTCTGTATCTGCCAATATAAAGTACAGGGTATTACTAATTGATATTTTAATTTTTTTTATTAACAAATTGTCCGTTTCCCACCAAGGCAAGGTGACCTGAAGAAGAAGCACTCATCACCGTTCACTCCATCACTGTCTTGCCAGAGGCACACCTACACTACAGTTAAAAAATAGCAACATCAACAGTCTTCCTCCTCCAGAGCACAAGCACTGTACTTCCCACCTCCAGGACTCAAGTCTGGCTTGCCGGTTTCCCGGAATCCCTTCATAATTGTTACTTTGATTACACTCCAACAGTACGTCAAGTCATAAAAACCATTTGTCTCCACTTGCTCATATCTAACATACTCGTGCACACTTGCTGGAAGTCCAAGCCCTTTGCACACAAAACCTCCTTTACCCCCTTCCTCCAACCTTTCCTAGACTGACTCCTACCCCACCTTCCTTCCACTACAGATTTATACTCTCACCAAGTCATTCTATTTTGTTCCATCCTCTTTAAATGTCTGAACCACACCTCAACAATCCCTCCTCAGGCCTCTGGATAATACTTTTAATAACCCTGCACCTCCTCCTAATTTCCAAACTAAGGATTCTCTGCATTATAATCACACTACACAGTGCCCTCAGACACAAAATCTCCACGGCCTCCAGCCTTCTCGTTATAACTTTCACCACCCATGCTTCACACCCATATAAGAGCATTTGTATAACTATACTCTCATACATTCCCTCTTTGCTTCCATGGATAATGTTCTTTGTCTCCACAAACTACTCAGTGCACCACTCTCCTTTTGCCCCTCATCAATACTATGATTCACCTCATCTTTCACAGACCCATGTATACTGACAAGTCCATTCCCAAATATCTAAATACATTCACTTCCTCTATACTCCCTCCCTCCAATCTGATATCCAATCTTTCATTACCTAATTTTTTTGTTACCCTTATTTAGTATAATTAACTGTAGGTAGGTAGGTTGGTAGACAGCAACCACCCAGGGAAGTACTACCGTCCTGCCAGATGACTGTGAAACAGAAACCTGTAACTGTTTTGCATGATGGTAGGATTGCTGGTTTCTTTTTCTGTCTCATAAACACGCTAGATAACAGGGATATCTTGCTACTCCTACTTACACTTTGGTCACACTTCACAGACACGCACATGCATATATATATACATACATCTAGGTTTTTCTCCTTTTTCTAAATAGCTCTTGTTCTTCTTTATTTCTTCTATTGTCCATGGGGAAGTGGAAAAGAATCTTTCCTCCGTAAGCCATGCGTGTCGTATGAGGCGACTAAAATGCCGGGAGCAATGGGCTAGTAACCCCTTCTCCTGTAGACACTTACTAAAAAAGAGAAGAAGAAAAACTTTATAAAACTGGGATGCTTAAATGTGCGTGGATGTAGTGCGGATGACAAGAAACAGATGATTGCTGATGTTATGAATGAAAAGAAGTTGGATGTCCTGGCCCTAAGCGAAACAAAGCTGAAGGGGGTAGGAGAGTTTCAGTGGGGGGAAATAAATGGGATTAAATCTGGAGTATCTGAGAGAGTTAGAGCAAAGGAAGGGGTAGCAGTAATGTTAAATGATCAGTTATGGAAGGAGAAAAGAGAATATGAATGTGTAAATTCAAGAATTATGTGGATTAAAGTAAAGGTTGGATGCGAGAAGTGGGTCATAATAAGCGTGTATGCACCTGGAGAAGAGAGGAATGCAGAGGAGAGAGAGAGATTTTGGGAGATGTTAAGTGAATGTATAGGAGCCTTTGAACCAAGTGAGAGAGTAATTGTGGTAGGGGACCTGAATGCTAAAGTAGGAGAAACTTTTAGAGAGGGTGTGGTAGGTAAGTTTGGGGTGCCAGGTGTAAATGATAATGGGAGCCCTTTGATTGAACTTTGTATAGAAAGGGGTTTAGTTATAGGTAATACATATTTTAAGAAAAAGAGGATAAATAAGTATACAAGATATGATGTAGGGCGAAATGACAGTAGTTTCTTGGATTATGTATTGGTAGATAAAAGACTGTTGAGTAGACTTCAGGATGTACATGTTTATAGAGGGGCCACAGATATATCAGATCACTTTCTAGTTGTAGCTACACTGAGAGTAAAAGGTAGATGGGATACAAGGAGAATAGAAGCATCAGGGAAGAGAGAGGTGAAGGTTTATAAAACTAAAAGAGGAGGCAGTTAGGGTAAGATATAAACAGCTATTGGAGGATAGATGGGCTAATGAGAGCATAGGCAATGGGGTCGAAGAGGTATGGGGTAGGTTTAAAAATGTAGTGTTAGAGTGTTCAGCAGAAGTTTGTGGTTACAGGAAAGTGGGTGCGGGAGGGAAGAGGAGCGATTGGTGGAATGATGATGTAAAGAGAGTAGTAAGGGAGAAAAAGTTAGCATATGAGAAGTTTTTACAAAGTAGAAGTGATGCAAGGAGGGAAGAGTATATGGAGAAAAAGAGAGAGGTTAAGAGAGTGGTGAAGCAATGTAAAAAGAGAGCAAATGAGAGAGTGGGTGAGATGTTATCAACAAATTTTGTTGAAAATAAGAAAAAGTTTTGGAGTGAGATTAACAAGTTAAGAAAGCCTAGAGAACAAATGGATTTGTCAGTTAAAAATAGGAGAGGAGAGTTATTAAATGGAGAGTTAGAGGTATTGGGGAAGATGGAGGGAATATTTTGAGGAATTGTTAAATGTTGATGAAGATAGGGAAGCTGTGATTTCGTGTATAGGGCAAGGAGGAATAACATCTTGTAGGAGTGAGGAAGAGCCAGTTGTGAGTGTGGGGGAAGTTCGTGAGGCAGTAGGTAAAATGAAAGGGGTTAGGCAGCCGGGATTGATGGGATAAAGATAGAAATGTTAAAAGCAGGTGGGGATATAGTTTTGGAGTGGTTGGTGCAATTATTTAATAAATGTATGGAAGAGGGTAAGGTACCTAGGGATTGGCAGAGAGCATGCATAGTTCCTTTGTATAAAGGCAAAGGGGAAAAAAGAGAGTGCAAAAATTATAGGGGGATAAGTCTGCTGAGTTATAGGTAGTAGGTTGGTAGACAGTAACCACCCAGGGAGGTACTACCGTCCTGCCAAGTGAGTGTAAAACGAAAGCCTGTGATTGTTTTACATGATGGTAGGATTGCTGATGTCTTTTGTCTGTCTCATAAATATGCAAGATTACAGGCATGTCTTGCTACTTCTACTTACACTTAGGTCACACTACACATACATGTACACATTTATTTATACACACTCATCTGAGTTTTCTTTGATTTTATCTTAATAGTTCTTGGTCTTATTACTTTTCCTTTTATATCCATGGGGAAGTGGAATAAGAATCTTTCCTCCGTAAGCCATGCGTGTTGTAAAAGTCAACTAAAATGCCGGGAACAATGGGCTAGTAACCCCTTTTCCTGTAAAGATTACTAAAAAGAATAAGAAGAAAATTGTTTTCTTTCTTTTTTGGGTCACCCTGCCTCGGTGGGAGACGGCCGACTTGTTGAAAAAAAAAAAAAAAAAAAAAGTCTGCTGAGTATACCTGGTAAAGTGTATGGTCGAGTTATTATTGAAAGAATTAAGAGTAAGACGGAGAATAGGATAGCAGATGAACAAGGAGGCTTTAGGAAAGGTAGGGGGTGTGTGGACCAGGTGTTTACAGTGAAACATATAAGTGAACAGTATTTAGATAAGGCTAAAGAGGTCTTTGTGGCATTTATGGATTTGGAAAAGGCGTATGACAGGGTGGATAGGGGGGCAATGTGGCAGATGTTGCAAGTGTATGGTGTAGGAGGTAGGTTACTGAAAGCAGTGAAGAGTTTTTACGATGATAGTGAGGCTCAAGTTAGAGTATGTAGGGAAGAGGGAAATTATTTCCCAGTAAAAGTAGGCCTTAGACAAGGATGTGTGATGTCACCGTGGTTGTTTAATACTATATTTATAGATGGGGTTGTAAGAGAAGTAAATGCGAGGGTCTTGACAAGAGGTGTGGAGTTAAAAGATAAAGAATCACACACAAAGTGGGAGTTGTCACAGCTGCTCTTTGCTGATGACACTGTGCTCTTGGGAGATTCTGAAGAGAAGTTGCAGAGATTGGTGGATGAATTTGGTAGGGTGTGCAAAAGAAGAAAATTAAAGGTGAATACAGGAAAGAGTAAGGTTATGAGGATAACAAAAAGATTAGGTGATGAAAGATTGAATATCAGATTGGAGGGAGAGAGTATGGAGGAGGTGAATGTATTCAGATATTTGGGAGTGGACGTGTCAGCGGATGGGTCTATGAAAGATGAGGTGAATCATAGAATTGATGAGGGAAAAAGAGTGAGTGGTGCACTTAGGAGTCTGTGGAGACAAAGAACTTTGTCCTTGGAGGCAAAGAGGGGAATGTATGAGAGTATAGTTTTACCAACGCTCTTATATGGGTGTGAAGCATGGGTGATGAATGTTGCAGCGAGGAGAAGGCTGGAGGCAGTGGAGATGTCATGTCTGAGGGCAATGTGTGGTGTGAATATAATGCAGAGAATTCGTAGTTTGGAAGTTAGGAGGAGGTGCGGGATTACCAAAACTGTTGTCCAGAGGGCTGAGGAAGGGTTGTTGAGGTGGTTCGGACATGTAGAGAGAATGGAGCGAAACAGAATGACTTCAAGAGTGTATCAGTCTGTAGTGGAAGGAAGGCGGGGTAGGGGTCGGCCTAGGAAAGGTTGGAGAGAGGGGTAAAGGAGGTTTTGTGTGCGAGGGGCTTGGACTTCCAGCAGGTATGCATGAGCGTGTTTGATAGGAGTGAATGGAGACAAATGGTTTTTAATACTTGACGTGCTGTTGGAGTGTGAGCAAAGTAACATTTATGAAGGGATTCAGGGAAACCGGCAGGCCGGACTTGAGTCCTGGAGATGGGAAGTACAGTGCCTGCACTCTGAAGGAGGGGTGTTAATGTTGCAGTTTAAAAACTGTAGTGTAAAGCACCCTTCTGGCAAGACAGTGATGGAGTGAATGATGATGAAAGTTTTTCTTTTTCGGGCCACCCTGCCTTGGTGGGAATCGGCCAGTGTGATAATAAAAAAAAAAAAATAACTTCACAATGCAGGAACACAGTATGTATAAGCAATTTTCATGTTTGGCAAAAAGAAAATTATTCTCAAAGATGTATGTATTAACAGAAAAGTAATCAATGATTCTACATCAGAAATATACCCAGTACTCCTGAACTGTCATTATAGTAGTGCATGGAAATTGTAATCCAAATAACCCACCAAACTGCAATATCCCCCATCCATATTTCAAAGTGTAGGCACTACTGTACTTCCTACCCTCAAGAGTGAAGTCCGGCTGACTGGTTTTCCCTGAATCTGTTCATGGATATGCTCTCACTAATAAATGTAAAAACTGCAATGGAAAAGACCAACTGTCCCCAATGAAAAATAACACAATCACTCAAAAAACAAAAATGATAAAAACCAATGCTTTCATCAAATCCTTGTTTTAAATCAGAAAATCAATCCTAGCAAGGAAGGACATACTTAAAACCATAAGGATCTTCTACAAGTGATGCATCATCTTCATCGTCTTCTGGAGAGACGTATACTACTTCTAACATGATAGTTCCTTCTTGTGATGATAACAGTTGTACAGCCTCTACATGATTAACCTGTAATGTTATACACTATTAAATACTGCAATTTACATACTCTACCAAAAAAAAAAAATGGATATAAATAAAAAAAAGTCTAATCCACAACAGATCAAAATAAGCACTGTATCCTCTTTGCTTTGTAAAGAGTTGAGAACAAAAATATATTATATAATTTGACACTAAAAAATGTAAATAATAACTATGTATGTAGAGCATGCATTAGCTAAAAGTTTAAAATTACAATTTTAACAAATTATGAATTAGGAAGAGCAAGTGTTCACTATTATTTACAAATTAAAGTTATACAGTAACTGACTGGTGTTTACTATTACTGCTCTAAAATTCAGTGCTTACCTCTTTCAAAGATATGCTATTGACAGAAAGTATAGCATCTCCAACATAGAGCTGTCCTGAACGGCTAGCAGGCGTATCAGGGTGAATAACAGAGATGAGGATTGGCACACCATGCTCTCGACCACCCTAGATATTATAATGATACCACAGTATCAATCATCTTACATGGTAAATGTGCAAACAGCAGCCACCTGTGGAGTACTATACTAGCATCCTCTTATATCAGCAGCTTCCTACAAAAGCAGTGACCCAAAGAAGGAAACACATTCACCATCACTACTTCCCTAGTCACCTTTCTAGAAGCATAGAGGTAAGAAGTCCTGCCTTAACAACACACATCAACAATTCTACCAATATAGGGGTGCTTAGTAGATTCTCCCTAGCCTTCCACTATCCCTCATCTATATCAATGGCTTTTCTAATGCCCCTTAGGAACTTATGCCAGTTCTGTTTGCAGATGACAACTTATATTATCTCCCATTTAGATCTAGTTGTCCTCAACAATACTGTTAATGACAAGATTGTAAATACGTATATCTACTTGGATGATTACCAACAAACTCACTCTTAACATTGCCAAGACTTTCTTTGTAAACAGAGTTAAAAATGTATAATCGAATATAATGGTAAATGATACACCCTGAAATTTACTTTCAAACAATTCCTTAATGAATCTACCATCTATTAGTCATTTTATAAGACTAACACTGCAGCACACTCTCCTATATCTTGCATCTTACAGACCCATATTACCATAATTTTACAAGCTCTTACTCTTGACTCCTACTAAGCAAAAATCTTAATAAAAAAATCTCTCAATCAAACTGGAATAAATTTTTCAAGTGCAATACATAATGGATATCATTACCAATAAATATTAAAAGTCCTAGGAGATACTGTAATAACATTATGACAGAACTATACTCACTGTAATAGACATACCAAGACCTTCATGTGGAGCCTTCTGCAAGGTTACAACCCTCCGTTGCTGTTGCTTACTTGGTCGTGATATTCCACCCCCATTCACTCCACACACATTCCCTTCTCCAGGCATCTAATAATGCAACAAGATATATCTTGGGTTACAAATGACAATCAGCTTTATTATATAACAGCAAATAAGAGATCAGGGACTTCATAATATGTTTCAAAATCCATATACAATGCCTAGTTTGGAAAATCAACTGTTAATTGATTACAGTATATTTATAGTATGTATTTTGAATCACCACTTTTACGATACATGAAATATACAAACTAAGAAATATACAACTAAGAAAATTAAAATTAAAAAAAAAAGAGCATACATAGTGCCAAGAGCCAGGTGACATGAAGTAAGAGGGAAGGAAGTGGTAGAAGCAGACTTGAGTAAAAGGGTTTGGTTTTCAGGAAGACTTGCCTAGAATGGGCCAGAAGGCTTGTTGCAATGCTCCTCTGTCCTTATGTTCTCAATCATAGCTATACTATTACCTTTTCTGCTTTATGTCACCACTGTGCATGCTCCATTCTTAGTTGTCTCTGCATTAGGACTAAAGCCACTCATGGTGAAATGTTTCTTTTGATAAATATCCTGAACAGTACACAAGAGCTTTTAGCCATATTATGGATAAAAATACAGTATGCATTAATTTCCAAGATCCAAAATGAACTTTTTAATAAATTTAGAGAGATTATGAATGAGAGAGATTACTGTATTTAACAACCCACATACTGAATTTTTATTTTATTAAGGATATGATACGGAATTTGTTCACTTTCCACACAACTTTATTACCTGTGATCCACGAGTAAAGCGACTTCGACAAGCTCTCACTACAGTCTTGTGTCGATGTAGATGAATCTCTGCTTCCAATTGGTGCCATAATTTGTCATGCTCTTCTCCACGCAGGTCTCTACCTAACAGCTGAATCTGCTGAATCCTGCAAAATATTTATTTTTAAACATTAATCTGATATTCAAACAAAATGTTCTGCCTAAGAATATAATACAGGTCGGCCATCACTAATCTGGCAATCAGTTATCCGGTTCCATCAGTAATCTGGCATAATTTCAAATTTCATCATTATACTGACTCAAATTTCATCATTATACTGACTCAGAAATTGTGCAGATGGTTGTAAATCCACAGCAGCAAGCCAGTGGAGGAGGAAGTAGTGATGAAAATGAGGAAGATGTAGCAGAAAGTCTCTCCTGATAGATTAATTAAAGGTATTCTAACCTAACCATTCTGTAATCTGGCAAACTCACTAATCCAGCACACTACAGGTCCCAATGATGCCGGATTAGTGATGGCAGACCTGTATACATATTTACATTTTTTTTTTTTTCAACAAACCGGCCGTATCCCACCAAGGCAGGGTGGCCCAAAAAGAAAAACGAAAGTTTCTCTTTTTAAATTTAGTAATTTATACGGGAGAAAGGGTTACTAGCCCCTTGCTCCTGGCATTTTAGTCGCCTCTTACAACACGCATGGCTTACGGAGGAAGAATTCTGTTCCACTTCCCCATGGAGATAAGAGAAAATAAACAAGAACAAGAACAAGAAAGAAAATAGAAGAAAACCCAGAGGGATGTGTATACAGTGGGCCCCCGCTTAACGATCACCTCCCAATGCGACCAATTATGTAAGTGTATTTATGTAAGTGCGTTTGTACGTATATGTTTGGGGGTCTGAAATGGACTAATCTACTTCACAATATTCCTTATGGGAACAAATTCGGTCAGTACTGGCACCTGAACAAATGTACTTCTGGAATGAAAAAATATCGTTAACCGGGGGTCCACTGCATATACATATATATGCTTGTACATGTATGTGTAGTGTGACCTAAGTGTAAGAAGTAGCAATCTTCTTTCAACAAACCGGCCGTATCCCACTAAGGCAGGGTGGCCCAAAAAGAAAAACAAAAGTTTCTCTTTTTAAATTTAGTAATTTATACGGGAGAAGGGGTTACTAGCCCCTTGCTCCTGGCATTTTAGTCGCCTCTTACAACACGCATGGCTTACGGAGGAAGAATTCTGTTCCACTTCCCCATGGAGATAAGAGGAAATAAACAAGAACAAGAACTAGAAAGAAAATAGAAGAAAACTCAGAGGGGTATGTATATATATGCTTGTACATGTATGTGTAGTGTGCCCTAAGTGCAAGTAGAAGTAGCAAGATGTACCTGAAATCTTGCATGTTTATGAGACAGAAAAAAGGACATCAGCAATCCTACCATCATGTAAAACAATTACAGGCTTTCGTTTTACACTCACTTGGCAGGACAGTAGTATCTCCCTGGGCAGTTGCTGTCATGAATGTAGTTGTCATAACAAATTTGCAGGCATTTGTATACAGTACATGGATTTTGGTTACCCAACAGTTTTAATGAAAGGCAGTTAGTGAATAAAATGTTATTCATTCTTCTTGCTCACTGGCTTTCCCATACCCAAATCTCTCTTTATTCAGGTCATTATTTCTTATGGCTGTCAATATTAGCAAGATTACAGTGATATAATACAGAGACAGTCTCTAAAATACACAATGAACCCATATCTGAAACAAAATTTATGAAAACTTAATCTAGCATTATTAATGGTTTCTAGTTTCACAGACCCTCTAGGAACATAACCCCACCTTGCAAATTTGTATGGACAACTGCATGTGATTTTAAGTATGATTTCCACATCCCTAAAAGGTGTTTTCAAACTACATACGAAAATTTTAGCCTTACTATACCAAATCACTTACCTTCCAGCTAACTCTTTGTCTAAGTATTTGGCAGCAAGTTTGGCTCCGTAGAGTTCCCCCTGAAGTCCTAGTATATATCGCCTCAACGAATCATTTTCTTTTCTAAGTATGGCAGCTTCGTGAGTTCCAATCATAACTTTTAAGCTTTCTAATCGCTGCTCCTCCAAATCTTTTTCCTAAAGAGGTACAATATAAAAGTAATTTCTCTGCTTTACAGTAAAATGATTTATCAGCTATGGCTTAATAACATAAAACTTATGGCGAACATTTTAGAAATCTAATTAAAGCATAGTAAATTTAAAAATTATACTTTTCACAAATGTATATTTAATCTACATGCTTAAAATTAAAAATATGATCAGTGTACGTATATATTTTTTTTCCTTCAACATGTCAGTCATCTCTCACCAAGGAAGGGTGATCCAAAAGTGAAACCCTTTCACTGTCATTCAACACTTTCACCATCACTGCCGGGTCACCAACTGGAAAAAACCATGGCTGGGACAGTACCGGCAAATCTTAGAACTAGAACCATCACTCACACATAATCACTGTCTTTGCAGAGCACCCAGATACGACAGCTTAGATGTCACTCCAAACAGCCAATATCCCAAACCCCTCCTTTAAAGTGCAGGCACTGTACTTCCCACCTCCAGAACTCAAGTCCGGTTTCCCTGAATCCCTTCACAAATTATTACTCTGCTTGCACCCCAACAGCTCATCAGGTCCCAAAAAACATTCGTCTCCATTCACCACTATCTAACACACTCACATATGCCTGCTGCATGTCCAAGTCCCTTTCACACAAAAACCTCTTTCACCCCCTCAATATATACTATTTTTTCAACAAACTGGCCATATCCCACTGAGGCAGGGTGACCTAAAAAGAAAAATGAAAGTTTCTCTTTTTAAATTTAATAATTAATACATGAGAAGGGGGTTACTAGCCCCTTGCTCTCGGCATTTTAGTCACCTCGTACAACATGCATGGCTAATGGAGGAAGAATTCTGTTCCATGTCTCCCATGGAGATATGTATATAGTACATACATAATTTTTTTTTTTTTTAACAAGTTGGCCGTCTCCCACCGAGGCAGGGTGACCCAAAAAAGGAAAGAAAATCCCCCCCAAAAAAATACTTTCATCATCATTCAACACTTTCACCACACTCGCACATTATCACTGTTTTTGCAGAGGTGCTCAGAATACAACAGTTTAGAAGCATACACATATAAAGATACACAACATATCCCTCCAAACTGCCAATATCCCAAACCCCTCCTTTAAAGTGCAGGCATTGTACTTCCCACTTCCAGGACTCAAGTTCGACTATATGAAAATAACCGGTTTCCCTGAATCCCCTCACTAAATATTACCCTGCTCACACTCCAACAGATCGTCAGGTCCCAAGTACCATTCGTCTCCATTCACTCCTATCTAACACGCTCACGCACGCTTGCTAGAAGTCCAAGCCCCTTGCCCACAAAACCTCCTTTACCCCCTCTCTCCAACCCTTTCGAGGACGACCCCTACCCCGCCTTCCTTCCCCTATAGATTTATATGCTTTCCATGTCATTCTACTTTGATCCATTCTCTCTAAATGACCAAACCACCTCAACAACCCCTCTTCTGCCCTCTGACTAATACTTTTATTAAATTTTGATGTGTGTGTGCTTCTGGAAAGACAACTAGGGAACGAGTTTTAGTGACTAGGTTCTCCTTCTTTCCCTACCTTAATGGGAAATGGCAAATGTATTTAATAAAAGACTTCAGATATAATTATAAAACTTGTAGTATGGAAGTAAGGAGTATGGAAGAAGTGAATGTTTTTAGATATTTGGGAGTTGACGTGTCAGCGGATGGATTTATGAAGGATGAGGTTAATCATAGAACTGATGAAGGAAAAAAGATGAGTGGTGCATTGAGGTATATGTGGAGGCAAAAAATGTTATCTATGGAGGCAAAGAAGGGACTGTATGAAAGTATAGTAGTACCAACACTCTTATATGGGTGTGAAGCTTGGGTTGTAAATGCTGCAGCAAGGAGGCAGTTGGAGGCAGTGGAGATGTCCTGTCTAAGAGCAATGTGTGGTGTAAATATTATGCAGAAAATTCGGAGTTTGGAAATTAGGAGAAAGTGTGGAGTTAATAAAAGTATTAGTCAGAGGGCTGAAGAGGGTTTGTTGAGGTGGTTTGGTCATTTAGAGAGAATGGATCAAAGTAGAATGACATGGAGAGTGTATAAATCTGTAGGGGAAGGAAGGCAGGGAAGGGGTCGTCCTCGAAAAGGTTGGAGGGAGGGGGTAAAGGAGGTGTTGTGGGCGAGGGGTTTGGACTTCCAGCAAGTGTACATGAGCATGTTAGATAGAGTGAATGGAGACAAATGGTATTTGGGACCTGACGATCTGCTGAGTGTGAGCAGGGTAATATTTAGTGAAGGGATTCAGGGAAACCGGTTATTTTATATAACCGGACTTGAGTCCTGGAAATGGGAAGTACAATGCCTGCACTTTAAAGGAGGGGTTTGGGATATTGGCAATTTGGAGAGATATACAGTGGACCCTCGACCAACGATGGCATCGATTAACGATAAATCCGACTAGCAATACATTTTAACGCAAAAATTTTGCCTCGACTAGCGCTAAAAAACTCGACCAACACTATTCATTCTGTCTGAGACGCGTCCACTTCTGGCCAGTGTTTACAAGCCAGCCAGCCACCGCGGTCGCTTCCAAGCATACAATCGGAACACTTCATATTATCACAGCCTTTTTAGTTATTGCACCTGCAAAATAAGTCACCATGGGCCCAAGAAAGCTTCTAGTGCCAACCCTAAAGCAAAAAGGGTGAGAATTACTATGGATATGAAGAAAGAGATCATTGCTAAGTATGAAAGTGGAGTGCGTGTCTCCAAGCTGGCCAGGTTGTACACAAAACCCGAATCAACCATCGCTACTGTTGTGGGCAAGAAAACGGCAATCAAGGAAGCTGTTCTTGCCAAAGGTGCAACAATGTTTTCAAAACTGAGATCGCAAGTACTCGAAGATGTTGAGAGACTGTTAAACGAAAAACAGATAGCAGGAGATAGCATCTCTCAAGCGATCATATGTGAAAAGGCTAGGAAGTTGCATGACAATTTAATTAAATAAAAATGCCAGCAACTAGTGATGTGAGTGAATTTAAGGCCAGCAAAGGTTGGTTTGAGAGATTTAAAGGGAAGGGAAGTAACCCCGGAAAAGGACTTGCCACCTCAAGTCCTAATGGAAGGAGATTCCCCTTCTAAACACTAAGACCATCAACACTCTCCCCTCCTCCCATCCCATCAATCATCACCTGATCTTCAATAAAGGTAAGTGTCATGTAACTGTGCATGTCTTCTTCAGTTTGTGTGTATTAAAATAAATATTTCATGTGGTAAAAACAATTTTTTTTCATACTTTGGGGTGTCCTACACGGATTAATTTGATTTCCATTATTTCTTATGGGGAAAATTAACTTGACTAACGATAATTTTGACTAACGATGAGCTCTCAGGAACGGATTAATAGCGTTAATCGAGGGTCCACTGTATTGTGTATTTTTATACGTATACTATACTTCTAAACTGTTGTATTCTGGGCACCTCTGCAAAAACAGTGATTATGTGTGAGTGAGGTAAAAGTGGAAATAAATGGTATAAAATACCGACACAATGGCAATATAAACACAAATGCAGTATAATGTGATCCTTTATTGACTACGTTTCGCCCACACAGTGGGCTTTTTCAAGTCTGTTTGTGACTTGAAAAAGCCCACTGTGTGGGCGAAACGTAGTCAATATTATTATTATAATCAAAAAGAAGCGCTAAGCCACAAGGGCTATACAGCAACGTAGTCAATAAAGGATCACATTATACTGCATTTGTGTTTATATTGCCAGTGAGGTAAAAGTGTTGAATGATGATGAAAGTATTTTCTTTTTGGGGATTTTCTTTCTCTTTGGGTCACCCTGCCTCGGTGGGAGACGGCCGACTTGTTGAAAAAAAAAAAAAGTTTCTTATACATACAACAGTTTAAGAAAGACAACCTAACACCTTTGAAGATAAAGGAACAAGAGCTAAAACAAACATATATACAGTATACCTTAGTTCACATATTTTGAGTAGAGGCAAGAGATCATATATGTTTACAAAACAAAAAGTTTGCAGGATAATGTACAATATGCACTTTGTTGTGCTTGAGTTGTCAAAGAGAAAAGCCATTAATTGTTGCTGGTCTTCCCAAAGACCAAGTTTCTAGGAAGTCAAGTGCTGAGGCTTTTACAGGTTGATTTATTGCAATACATTATTATTATTATTATTATTATTATAATAAAGTGGGTGGGAAAGGTTGGGGGGATTTGGGGGAGGGTTGTTTTAGATTCGACGGCATAATCACCTGGCCCAGGCCTTTTCCAAGAGGTGGCCCGCCTTGGCTCCCTGCTGTGGGAGTGTCTCAGACCAATGTCTGCCATGGGAGGAGGTACAAGTACTTCCTCATCGTCTGGGACCAGTTGTCCCCAGGCCCAGCCTCACTCCCCACCCCCACAGGGCTTGGAGGAAGAAGCTAGGCACCTTGAGCTGCCTCAAACCTTGTCCACACTGGGCTTGAAGGGTGAGGCAGCTGCATAGGAGCAGACGATGTCAGAAGGTGCAAAGACATCAAGCACTACAGGATCCTTTTGGAGCCACACCCCAACTTTGGGCTAAAACCCAAGTGCTAGGGAAGCTCAAGAATGCCTCTTCTTGTGTGTGTTGCTGCTGCTACTTCACTTGTCAGTTGCACTCTGGAGGGGAAGGGGGGTTGTGCTAAACTCATAGGGGTCACATAGCACCTGGGGAAATGGGAGGCATTCAGGTTTGATCCAAGGAAGGGGAGGGCAGGTCCAATTCCTTGAATGAAGAGTGCCTTCCATAGCTTGAATGCTAGTGTTCTCAGCTCACACACTGAGGTCCAGGGATCGATTCCCCGGTACGGCTGGAAAACACTAGGACACGTTTCCACAAGACACCTGCCATCCCTGTTCACCAGTAAAATGGGTACCTGGGTGTTTCTTGACTGGTGTGGGTCACATCCTGGGAAAAAATTGATCTAATCTGCCTGAAATGCTCTGCATAACAAGGGGCTTTCTATAGTAGTACAGTATGTCACTGATGCCAGTTAGGCCTGTATACCTTGTACATGTACTTGTAGAAAAAAAGATATTATTATTATTACCAGCATTAAGGAACCTACCTCTCTTGAGTGATTAGTGCAGTACAGTAATATATAATATACAATAAACTGTAGTCCAGGATTATGGCAGCATCCAGTGGGTGGTAGTGTATATTATTCTTAGCAATATGTGTTATTTTATCTCCTGTTGAAGCTGGAGTGTTTTTTGTCCATTAATCTGATGATTTTAAGTCTCTGTAAAATCATTATCATATTCTTCTTGCTTAAATGAAAAAAAATGCTACCTATATATTAATTATTTTAAAGGAAGAAATATGAAATATTCTTGAAACAAATATGAAAATTTAATCCCTTTGTTAATCATTGCAAAATAAAAAAAATAGATTAGATTTTCCTCTTTTGAAAAAAGCTAAGCCATGTTCAGCCATCAGGTGCACCGTACTGGCCACATCATGCGACATGCTTTATCTACCTTCCTACTCACTTAAAATATTGAATTTAAACTACAGTATAAAAAAACACAATGATGAGAAAGCTTAATCATATTATTTATGAAAAAGATCTTGACTTATTAATACTTACACATTCATCCTGTTTACAGCAGCACAAGCAAAGAAAGTAACCTCTAGTAAAAAGTCCAAGTTTTTAGATATTTGCTTAACAAATATGAGATAAATCTATATGTTACAAGAGTTCTGTAAATTACTATTTTTTTTTTTGTTTACAAATAAGTGAAAACAACTATACATTTTCAATATATACAGTACCCAAAGTGCAATGTACCAACCATGAAAACCATGGCTGTGGAAACACACTGAACATTGTAGTACTGACCTTCTAAGAATCATCTCTCTATATTTCAATAAAATATTATAGCTTTATTCATAAAAGTGTAGTTAATATAGTAATCTAAAGTCATTACCTTCCTTTTTTCTTATACTGTAGTACAGTACATTACTATTACCTACACTAATAACTCAATTTAAATTTTAACTATGTATACTAACTAGGCACTAAACAATACCAAGTCAGTAGAGGCTATTCTTAACAAGAACAAAGTAATGAAAGTGGAAGGTAGAGAAGGTACCATCTAGGCAGCATATGAAACAGGATTCAAAGACAAAGACCCAAGACTAAAACTGAAATATGTATTGGTCATAAGGTAATCGTATCTAAAATTAAAACATACTGATAAACTAATGAATATTCCAAGATGTGCCAAAAAAAACATACATTCAAGAACTATGAAATATGAATTACATAGAGAGAGAAAACATTTGAAAACCATTTCTTTCTTTCTTTCAACACACCGGCCGTATCCCACCGAGGCAGGGTGGCCCAAAAGGAAAAACAAAAGTTTCTCCTTTTACATTTAGTAATATATACAGGAGAAGGGGTTACTAGCCTCTTGCTCCCGGCATTTTAGTCGCCTCTTACAACACGCATGACTTACGGAGGAAGAATTCTGTTCCACTTCCCCTTGGAGGTAAGAGGAAATAAACAAGAACAAGAACTAGAAAGAAAATAGAAGAAAACCCAAAGGGGTGTGTGTATATATATGCTTGTACATGTATGTGTAGTGTGACCTAAGTGTAAGTAGAAGTAGCAAGACATACCTGAAATCTTGCATGTGTATGAGACAGAAAAAAAAAAAGACACCAGCAATCCTACCATCATGTAAAACAATTACAGGCTTCAGTTTTACACTCACTTGGCATTTTAGAGCATAAAACAATACAGAAAATGCAAACATTAAAGATTTCTTAACACTTAGCAACTAGGAAAAAAAGAAACCACAGAAATAAACCAAGGAAAAAAAATGCTAAAAGTACATTTTAAAAGATTCTTTACAATTTAGTCAGATTGCTAGCATAAGACCCAAGTGGATGTAGTGGCTACAACCACAGCAAACCTCACTAAATTATATGACAAATGTAGAAATTGGAAAAACAGGCTATAGTTCTGTTGTAAATATGAACATGAAGGAAAAAAAGTGAGTGTGACACGGAGAATGTGAGAGAAGTATGTGACCATAAGTACAGAAGTATGAGTCAGCAATAAAAAAAAAGAGAATATTAAGTAAACTAGTATTGCACAATACTCACTATTTACAGTCATAAATCTACTGGTGAACTTTGCCTTTGAAAGCAACAAGTCAGTCAATAAATAAAATATTTTTACATACAGTATTACAAAATCATTTACCTGCTTTGACCTCTAAACATAATGTTGGAAGGGCTTGAGATGAAGGCACATAAGAGAAAAAATAAGGTACTGTACGCTAAAGTAAATACGTACAATACAGTACAACTATTTGCTAATTGGATTGTGGTTAACAGACTATACAATACTATATTAAAAATTTAAAATACCACAGAGAAAATTTAAATCAATTTATTAAATCTATTTTACAGACAGAAATTTCGTTATTAAGCATTTGAAAATGTTAAAATGAATCTGTAAGGTTTATAAAAATTACTAACCAATCGTTCTCTGATCTTCTCCGAGTCTTGAGTGTGAGCTGCTCCACCTGCGGAGTGTAACTTCAGTTGGCTAGAGTGAAGTTTCATTAACAGCTCTTTGCTCTCTGCCTCAGCCACCTGGCGAAAAGCATGACCTTCTGCACATTCATGGCGAAGGTGCACCAACTCTGCCTGATTTATTGGAATATTGCAAATTATATATACTATTAGATATCCTATGAGGTATATGATTTTATGCTAATATCAAATTTACACACATTCTATATGTACAGTATACTCTAAGGTATAACAACAATGCACCACTAGCAAAAACTGTATACAACTTATTAAAGTACATAACCAAAGTAAGAATAATAAACTATAATTTCGTTTACATAGAAAACACATTGTAACAAAGCATCACCTCAAGTTTAGCATTGGCCTGGAAAACCGTCTGTGCCTTGTGAGCGAGTTGTGCAAAACACGATGAGAGAGCTTCCAGTCTAGACCGTGCTTGTGCTTGAAAATCAGGCTCCTCTACATCATAGTGATCAACTTCACCTGTAATTAATTTATATTCTGTACAGTAATGCAGTCTCTTGTCATTCACACATCTACACATCTCCCAGATTTGGAAAGTAACTTCCTGAATTTCCAAAGTGAAAAGCCTGAATTTTGAATCTAAAAGGCTGTTAAATGTAGAACTGTATTAGATCCAATAATGACCCACTGATCCACAACATTAATAAAAGTTGAGCTTAGTATTACCTGTAGATACTAGCGAGAGGCTCTTTATCCAGGAAAAAAACTTTGTATATCTTTGGTTAAACCTCATTTATATTATGCTACACAGTTCTTGTTTCCATATTGCACAATGGACACAAATGTGCTGGGAAAATATACAGGGAAGAATGATGAGGTTGATCCCATGTATTAGAAACCTTTCCTACAAAAATAGTCTGAAGGAACTAAATTTGCACCCTCTGGAAACATGTAGAATTAGGGGATGTTATCAAAGAGGATACCAGGAGGGTGTTCTGGGGGTCAACGCCCCTGTGGCCCATTCCACGACCAGGCCTCGTGGTAGATCAGGGTCTGATGTAAATAACAAGCCGAGTGTATCTAAGACAGGACTCATATGAATGGATTCTAGTTGGAATTAATTTAGTCATAAGATTAGTACGTATTATTATAATCATGGGGGAGCACTAAACCTGTAGGATTATACAGCGCCTGTGGTGGGGATGGAAGGTATTCAGGCTCAATTCACGGAACCGGAGCACAGACCCAATTCCCTAGATCAAAAGCCCCTCACCAACATCAAGGAACCTTCCTTGATGGGTAGATTCAGAGAGATATTGTAGAGGGAAGTACTGGTTTAAATAAACAGGTTGGACTGGTATATAAGTGGGTGTGGTTGGACGAGTTGGTCCAATATGCCTACTGCAGTGTTTCTTCAGTTTTGTTTTATGTGTTAGTTCCTTGGATCAAGAGCACCTCACCAGAATCAAGGAACCTTCTATGAAGGAAGAAAGTCCAATTATTTTGGTATGTCATGTGGAAATGGCATGGTGATTCCGACAAGATATGGAAGACACTTATGTACAGTTCAGGATTGAAGAAGTCACTCGTGGCGAAACGTTTCCTTTATTAAATGTCCTGAACTGTACATAAGTGTCTTTTTCCACATCTAGCAAATCATATTGACGTGACAAACCCTACCATGAGGAAAGATTAGCTTTATTTACCACTGTCTTATTATCACTGCATAAACCTTCCAAATTCATGTGAGCTGACGTAAATGAGTTGACCTTACCTATGAGGAGGTCAAGGTCAACGAAGGACTTGTCAAACTCCTTCTCTAGTAGGTCCAGCCAGCGGAAAGTGACGTTTGTGGCCGCCATGACACCTCTGCCAGCTGGTCACTGTAAACAAAACAATAATAATATCTCTACATATATCACAAGACAATTATTCTTATGCAGTAGTGCAGTGGAAAATTACTTTACTTATTTTTAATAGCATTAATGTTCATTAAAACATAATAAGAAATAACGCAAAGTTCATGCAAAAAAGAGTCATATCATATACACATTATATAATATACAAATATATAATGAATTATATATTACTTCATAATTACATAAGCCAATAAGATGCTTATGAAGGTTATATATGCCTTGAGGAGTGTTTCGGTTCACATAAAAACAGACCTCGTGAAGATAGGCTTTAAAAAGAATAAAAGAATAAATATACAATAAAGATTTTATTTATCTGTAAAGGTACAATATGTGTAATTACAAGGTAGGGAATTTTTTATTGCATTTATGGATTTAGAAAAGGCATATGACAGAGTGGATAGGAGAGTAATGTGGCAGATGTTGCAAGTATATGGAATAGGTGGTAAGTTACTAAATGCTGTAAAGAGCTTTTATGAGGATAGTGAGGCTCAGGTTAGGGTGTGTAGAAGAGAGGGAGAATACTTCCCGGTAAAAGTAGGTCTTAGACAGGGATGTGTAATGTCACCATGGTTGTTTAATATATTTATAGATGGGGTTGTAAAAGAAGTAAATGCTAGGGTGTTCGGGAGAGGGGTGGGATTAAATTATGGGGAATCAAATACAAAATGGGAAGTGACAGTTACTTTTTGCTGATGATACTGTGCTTATGGGAGATTCTAAAGGAAAACTGCAAAGGTTAGTGGATGAGTTTGGGAATGTGTGTAAAGGTAGAAAGTTGAAAGTGAACATAGAAAAGAGTAAGGTGATGAGGGTATCAAATGATTTAGATAAAGAAAAATTGGATATCAAATTGGGGAGGAGTATGGAAGAAGTGAATGTTTTCAGATACTTGGAAGTTGACGTGTCAGCGGATGGATTTATGAAGCATAAGGTTAATCATAGAATTAATGAAGGAAAAAAGTTGAGTGGTGCATTGAGGTATATGTGGAGACGAAAAAGTTATCTATGGAGGCAAAGAAGGGTAAGTAAGTAAGTATAGTAGTACCAACACTCTTATATGGATGTGAAGCTTGGGTGGTAAATGCAGCAGCGAAGAGACGGTTGGAGGCAGTGGAGATGTTCTGTTTAAGGGCAATGTGTGGTGTAAATATTATGCAGAAAATTCGGAGTGTGGAAATTAGGAGAAGGTGTGGAGTTAATAAAAGCATTAGCCAGAGGGCTGAAGAGGGTTTGTTGAGGTGGTTTGGTCATTTAGAGAGAATGGATCAAAGTAGAATGACATGGAGAGCGTATAAATCTGTAGGGGAAGGAAGGCGGGGTAGGGGTCCTCCTTGAAAAGGTTGGAGGGAGGGAGTAAAGGAGGTGTGGGCGAGAGGCTTGGACTTCCAGCAGGCGTGCAAGAGCGTGTTAGATAGGAGTGAATGGAGACGAATGGTATTTGGGACCTGACGATCTGTTGGAGTGTGAGCAGGGTAATATTTAGTGAAGGGATTCAGGGAAACCGGTTATTTTATATAACCGGAGTTGAGTCCTGGAAATGGGAAGTACAATGCCTGCACTCTAAAGGAGAGGTTTTGGGATATTGGCAGTTTGGATGGATATATTGTGTATTTTTATACGTATATACTTCTAAACTGTTGTATTCTGGGCACCTCTGCAAAAAAAAGTGATTATGTGTGAGTGAGGTGAAAGTGTTGAATGATGATGAAAGTATTTTCGTTTTGGGGGATTTTCTTTCTTTTTGCGTCATCCTGCCTCGGTGGGAGACGGCCGACTTGTTGAAAAAAAAAATGTACAGTGAAAGGACACAAGTGCAACTAATGTGACATTTTTAATGTGACAACGTTTCGCTCTCCAGGAGCTTTGTTAAGCTGTCAGTGGTGGTAGTAGTAGTAGTAGTAATATAAGTTGTAGTAGTAATATAAGTATTACTACTACCACTACTATTACTAGTAGCAGCAGCAGCAGCAGCAGCAATATAAGTATTACTACTACTACTACCACTAGTAATACACCTCACTCTAAGCCTATATATACCCATATATACAGCATTTATTCAAGAATAGTCTTCAAGTTGTACACCTCAGGGAAGGCACACTAGGCCTATTTATCTCGTGTTTGCTAAAAATCACATTTTGACTTGTATTAAATACATGGATGGCTCCAGGGCTACCCCACTTGAATTTTACTTAATGCTAAGTTTATTTCATATTTATTTCTATATGTAAATCCGAAATAATGACTTAAAAAAAAGTTACCGGAGCAGGATTCGAACCGGCATATCTACGGTAGGTGTTAGATGGGAGGGACACCCCCGGGCGCTGAAAATGGACAGTTTATTGTATACCTTGTACATGTATTTGTAGAAATAAATATATTATTATATTATATTATTTGATAGTGTTAAAAATCTATAATGATTTCAGTAAGCACATGAATAGCATAGGCAAATTATGCAGCTTTTCCCTATCAAAAATCCAACAAACACGTAAACAGACCAAATTTTATTTTCAAAATATACTTACTTATATTACGTGTGCATTCGAATATGAATATTTATTATTATTATTATTATTATTATTATTATTATTATTATTATTATTATTATTATTATAATTATTATTGTTATTATTATTATTATTATTATTATTATTATTATTATTATTATTATTATTATTATAATTATTTTATTATTATTATTATTATTATTATTATATTATTATTATTATTATTGTTATCAAAATCTTATACACTATTTTTGGGTTATCCTAGAATAAAAACTTACTCAAGATTTTTACCACAGTAGCAAGCATAATTGGTATGTAAGTACTAACTTTTTACTCTATATGTAATGCATTAAATTTTGATAATAAGTAAAAAATACACCTAGATTTATGCTATCAATCTCAGCCACATCTCGAATAAGTAAGTTTATTCAGGTACAGGTACACATAAATACAGTTACATAAATTATCATACATAGTAACATATGTATAAATTACCTAGGATTTCTACACAGTTAGTCTCAATAGTTACATATAGTTTTGTTCCGGTTTAGTATATTGTCATATGTGGAGATAAGATAAGATTTCTTCGGATTTTTAATCTGAAGGATTAGCCATCCAGGATAAGTAAGTTTATTTAGGTAGACGTACACACAAGTACAATTATTATACCTAGTAACATATGTGTAGACTACCCAAATAAAGTCAGTGTTATTGGGGAAATAAGTCACTCTGTCTGACTTTATGGGTTATCCTAGGTTCTCTTCACATATGTGCTATGTATGATAATTCTATGTAACTGTATTTGTGTATACCTGAATAAACTTACTTACTTACTTAGTCTGCCTTATTTCCACTGAGGTCCATGGTTCGATCCCCGGTACGGGTGGAAACATTAAGACGTGTTTCCTAAGACACCTACTGTCACTGTTGACCCATCAGTAAAACAGGTACCTGGGTGTTAGTCGACTGGTGTGGGTCGCATCCTGGGTACAAAATTGATCTAATTCGCCAGAAATGTTCTGCATTTCAAGGGACTTTCTATATATATTAGTATGTTACTGATGTCAGCTATGGTAAACTCCAGGTATGGTCTGTATACTTTACACATGTACTTGTAGAAATAAAGATTATTACATTATTACCGGGCTCTTTAATATTGTCCCCAGGATGCGACCCACACCAGTCGACTAATACACAGGTACCTACTTACTGTTAGGTGAACATGGACAACAAATGTAAGATGGCTAACACCCAGATGGCACATACTTACTGTTAAGTGAACAGGGACAGTAAGTGTAAGGAAATATGACCATCGTTTTACCTGTACCGGGGATCGAACCACGGACACTCAGTATGTATCACTGGTAATAAAAATCTGTAACTGCTTTATTATAAATAAATTAAACTATCACAAAACAGTATTTGCAAAATTAGTACACTCTCACTGTGCGACTCTGATCAACATTCCATTCTAGATCTAAATAAACAACATGAAGGTAAATAGTAACAACTCAATTATATCAACCAAACACACTGGGAAAAATCCATGAACTCTCAAGACTACATCTCAAAAAGCATAACTAAAATGCTGTATATATTAAGAAGCTTTCTACATGCGCACCTAAATGTCATTCACCTCTGCACAAACATTGTATCATGCTAAAATAAAGTATCTTATATAAAGCTACGGGGATTGAATTAAGAGTCACGTAAGTACCCGTATTCTAATAACATGTTAATTTTTTCTACTATATTCTACCATGTTCATAATTACTATCGTATTTGCTTTCTCCTTACGAAAGAGACAAAGCAAATGCGATAGTAATTATGGGCAAGGTAGATTATAGTGGAAAAATGAATATATTATCAGAAGACGGGGTAACTTACGTGCCTCTTAAGTCTTGTTGCATTTAAGGCCCCTGAGTACACACTCTCGCCGGGTAACCTGTAGCGCAGTGGTCAGCGCAGTCGGCTCACAACCGATTGGTCCCGGGTTCGAATCCCGGGCAGGGCGAGACGTATGGGCAAGTCTCCTTACACCCGTTGCCTCTGTTCACCTAGCAGTAAATAGGTACCTGGGTGTTAGTCGACTGTTGTGGGTCGCATCCTGGGGGGATGGTCAATGCTACGATACCTGAGAGACTCGAACTCCCTCAACTGACCTAATTGCTCTCACTCAGTGAGTGAGAACCAGTGAAGAAAACTGAGAAATCAGTACCAATGAAACAGTGCCGCAAGGCACACCAGACAAAACTGCCGCAAGGCGATGAAGAGATGCCGAAAGGCACACGTAGAGATGAGTGAAGTGGCCTAAAAAAGCCTAAAACATAGAGGGGAAGAGGGAGCCCCTGAGTATCTCAGGTAGTAGCACCTGATCATTTTAAAATAATTATTCATTTGTTAATATAATAAATACATTGATACCTTTCTCAGCTCACAAAAGTACCATTTTGATAATGTGAGAAATCACGAATACGCTTCACTATTGAGTTTTAATCTCTAAAATATTTAAGCATCTTATTACCACGAACACATCAATCATTACTGAATTGCAGTCTCTTCAAAAATTTATCATTCATCTAGTCGACACCAACCGGGCTGTGGTTCGTACGTCAGCTTGCGTGCGGCCAGTAGTAACAGCCTGGTTGATCAGACCCTGATCCACCTTGAGGCCTGGTCTCAGACCGGGCCGCGGAGGCGTTGACCCCCGAAACCCTCTCCAGGTAGAGTTTACATGACGGTGTCTATGCAAGGTTGATGTTTAGACACTTTAAAGATAGTGTTCCAGTCTATGATCCTGTCTCTGCCCACACTTGCATTAGATGTCAGTAACATCTCTATAAGTTTATTCAGGTATACATAAATACAGTTACAGAGATTATCATACATAGCAGCGTACGTGTAGAGAACCTGAGATAACCCAAAAAAGTCAAAGTGACTTATTTCCACTGTGGTTTATACAAACCATACTGCCAGAAATATTTATAGCCGAACCTTAATCCTGCAGTAGGAACATTTTGCAATCTATTAACCTTGTTACTTTCTCCATAAATATTGTTAGTCTGATACATTTCATATGATAAACAGTAATTCTGCAAGCTCCTATAAGTACTCTTTCTGTATAGCCCTTGTGGCTTAGCGCTTCTTTTTATAATAATAATAATAATATAAGCACTGTTCTACTTTCTTCACTCTATTGATAGTTTGTTCTGATCTTTTTTAATATTCTTTTTGATAAATTTAAATTATATTCACCATATTCTTTATTTAATGCTTGTGTTGTTAAGTTATCACTTTTTTATCATGCTGATGTAGGCCTATAAGAGGGAATTCATAAAACTTAGCTTTAATACCTTCCTTAATAATTTATATATATTGTGGGTCACATCCAGAGAAATTAAATTAAAGGATCATAGTGGAATAATAATAATAATAATAATAATAATAATAATAATAATAAAAATAATAATAATAATAAAAATAATAATAATAATAATAATCTTTATTTCTACAAGTACATTACAAGGTACGCAGGCTTAGCTGACATTACTATATAGAAAGTCCCTTGTTATACAGAGCATTTCGGGCAAATTAGGTCAATTTTCTCCCAGGATGCGACCCACACCAGTCGACTAGCACCCAGGTACCTATTTTAGTGATAGGTGAACAGGAACAGCAGGTGCCTTAAGTAAATACGTCCTAATATTTTCCAGCCTGTCCTTGATGACACACTGACTCTACTGGGTTATCTTGGGCTGGGTTACTAATCCTCCGGGTTAATAATCCAAACTAAATCTTATCATTAAATAAAAGCTTTTAATAATGTCAGACAAGTTGTTGGAGGTAAAAACAATTATTTAACCATATCTCGAACATTTTCAGCAAGAAATCAAACTAGTGAATCCAGTCCTTTCAGTTGAATAGTTCTTTTTATGTTATTTAAAATTTCATAGTGCATTCATTATTATTTAATATAAAAATAAACATCATAAGTTGCCTGGATGAAGAGCCCTTCACTAAGAGAGCAGCATGAGAACCACAAAACACATGCTGGCAGCGGTGGGATTCGAACCCACGCCTCCGAAGAGACTGGTGCCTTAAACCAGCGCCTTAGACCGCTCGGCCACGCTACCTTGACACGACGCAATTAAAAATGAAACACAAGCTGTCATAATCATTATTGTACGAGAGTATGTATGGAGTGGAGTCAAAGTCAAAGATTTATTTATACATGATACAATGTTTGCACAGAAATGGGGGACATTTAGTTCTGCATGCAGAGAGCCCATGGTTATGTACAGCATTTCGGGCAGGCTGTAAGCCTGACTTAAGACTACAACGATACTAATTATTATTTGCTTATATATAAGGACATTAAAAGTAGTATATATTACTGTATTAATGTTAGATCTTGAATGAAAGTTGTGCATAAATTGCTAGAATTATCTGACACGAAATTAGACATTATTGCTGACAAATAAGAGGTTTTATTGACCATCTTTATTTCAAAATCAACGTTTTTCAGGAAATATACATATGAATTGACTTAAAATACTATAAACTTGTATTGAAAAACCAAGAGTCACCTCATATAAATTTACACATCATCACGGAAATAAGTCATATTAAACTTCACTGGATTATGGTGGCCCGGTGGCCTGGTGGCTAAAGCTCCCGCTTCACACACGGAGGGCCCGGGTTCGATTCCCGGTGGGTGGAAACATTTCGACACGTTTCCTTACACCTGTTGTCCTGTTCACCTAGCAGCAAATAGGTACCTGGGTGTTAGTCGACCGGTGTGGGTCGCATCCTGGGGGACAAGATTAAGGACCCCAATGGAAATAAGTTAGACAGTCCTCGATGACGCACTGACTTTCTTGGGTTATCCTGGGTGGCTAACCCTCCGGGGTTAAAAATCCGAACGAAATCTTATCTTATCTGTAGTTATACGTGGAGTAGGAGGCTACATAATGTATTAAATTTATTTATACTTGTGTACCCATAGCATGTATGCTCTTATTACCGCTGTAAAATTAACTGTACATTAAGTACAGAGCCTAAATAAAAAATTATTTCCATGTATGTGCCTTTAAAATCACTGAAAAAAAAAACGGATTTCCAATGGGTAACTATTGGGTTACATTAGGTTAAATATACATAATGTATTTTTTATGTGCTATAATATACGTCCTCGAGTTCACTGTAAATAAAATTGTATATTATGTATCCAAAACCTAAATAAAAATTTACTGATTTTTGTGCAATAAGAGGAGTTGCCTCGCCCAGTGTCAGTGATGAGCCATCAACATAGTCTTGTTAGTTACCATTTTGTCCTAGGCACATATCGATTAGACACTAGGCCTGTTGTGTGTGTGTGTGTACTCACCTATTTGTGGTTGCAGGGGTCGAGTCCTAGCTCCTGGCCCCGCCTTGTGTGTGTGTGTGTGTGTGTGTGTGTACCTAATTGTACTCGCCTAATTGTGGTTTGCTAGGTCTGTGTTCTCAGCTTGCCTCGTTAGGTATTCCTGGATTATAATTGGTTCAGCCTGAATACCACAAGGTTATGATTGGTTAAACCATACCACGGGCGGGATTGAACCCGCGGTCAGAGAGTTATGATTGGTTATTGTCTCTCAGAGGTGAGGAACTTGTTAGTGTCGGTGTGTTGTTCCTGCTTGTTGTGTGTCTGGCGTCCCTACTGCCCTTCCTACGGCTGTCTCCTACGCTGTTTCTCGCTCCTGAAGTTCTCCTAGAAGTTCTTGACTCCTCCTACATCCTTGACGTCTTGCAGATTTAAGGAAGCTGAGGTTTAACAAAGGTTATAGTTAATCTGACTTTTTAACCTGACTCACTAATATAGCTCTCTCTTATATTAGTCTTTAAGGAAGCTACGAAACACGAGTATGAATATATACTGCGATACCTTTCTATGTTACTGACCTAAATAAACAAGCAAGGTATCATGTACCTAGGTACATGTAACACTAGTGTACATAGGGAGGAGAGACGGAACTAATACTCTTCAAAAGCTCTTGCACTTTCGTGTACACAGGTACGTGAAGCACAAACAGCAGTACCCTTCCAAAGCTCACGTGTTATCGTTTATCTAGGTACATGATATACGATTTATAATACTCTTCTAAAGCTCTTGCACTTATATACATAGACATTATAACACTTGTACTCGCAGTTCCACTTGTTTCCAAAATACTTCATTCTTGTACAAAAGACTGTTGTTGCAAGGCAGACAAGATTTCCACCCAAAAAAAATTAAGTACAAAGATCGATCGCTAACGCCTTCACCTCACACACTGAGGTCCGGGGTTGGAATCTCGGGTACGGCTAGAATACATTAGGACGTTTTTCCATACCTGCTGTCCCTCTTCACCCATCAGTTTAAAATGGGCATCTGGATGTTAGTGGACTGGTGTGGGTCGCATCCCGGGACAAAACTAACCCTATTTTCGGGAAATGCCCAGCATAACAAGTGGCTTTCTATAAAATAGTACGTTATTGATGTCAGCTATGGTCTGTATACCTTGTACATGCACTTGTAGAAATAATATTTAATATCTAAACCATAATATCTAAACTATTTAGAGCACCTCAGGGGACTTTTTTTTTTTTCTAACACGGAAGATAGAGGGGTATCATATATTCTAAGTAGGGTAAATATTATGCCAGATACCTGGCGGCTTACACACTAAAATAACTAATTGGAGTATGAGATGTGGTAAACTCCAGGTAAACTCCAGGTAAACTAACTCCAGGTAAACTCCAGAGGAAGTGAAATGTAAAAGATGCCTTAAATACAAATAAAGAGTGAATTGTGTCAACATTCATGCTCCATTCATTCACCAAGGTTTTTAATACCATGGTGGCTGGTGGGGATTGTGCCCAACCCCCCCCACACCACCCCCTCCCCCTCCTACCTGCTTCCCCCGTCCTACCTCCCCCCAACCCATCCCAACACCCAACCCCAACCCCCCCCATCCCCCCAAACCCCCCCCACCCC